GCTAAGAACCTGGCGAAGCACGGAGCCAGGCGGTGGCAGAGACGAAGGTGACGGCGGAGCGAAGAACAGTCGCGGCGGCGCAGCGCCACCAGCACCAGTAGCTCCAGCACCTCCAGCGCCAGCACCCGCAGTAGCTCCAGAACCTCCAGCTCCGGCGCCACCAGTGCCAGCACCTCCTGCAGCTCCAGAACCTCCAGCGCCAGCACCCGCAGCAGCTCCAGAACCTCCAGCTCCGGCGCCACCAGCACCAGCACCTCCAACAGCTCCAGAACCTCCAGCGCCAGCGCCCGCAGCAGCTCCAGAACCTCCAGCTCCGGCGCCACCAGCGCCAGCACCTCCAACAGCTCCAGAACCTCCAGCGCCAGCGCCCGCAACAGCTCCAGAACCTCCAGCTCCAGCGCCACCAGCAGTAGCACCCCCAGAACCGGCACCCCCAGCTCCAGGGCCTCCAACCTCAGAGTCAACAGCAGCACCTCCAGGTCCAGCTTGACCTCCAGCCCCAGCAGCTCCAGTACCTCCGGTACGAGCACCTGCGGGACCAGCTGCTCTAGGAACTCTAGTAGAAACAACTCCAGTAGCAGAGTCACCAGCTCCAGCGCCTCCCGCAGCAGGGCCCCTAGCTCCAGCAGCGCGACCCTGACGGCTAACGTACCACTCACGCAGCTGCTGTGGGGAGAGAGGGACAGTGCCGGCTCCAGTGCCTCCAACACCAGCGCCTCCCACATCAGGGCCCCCAGCTCCAGCAGCTCGACCCTGACGGCCAACGTACCACTCACGCAACTGCTATGGGGAGAGAGGGAGACGTCGACGAGAGTGCAGCGGCGAGGCACCAGCAGAGCGACTACGGAGACGGCCGCTCCAGGGAGACTGCTCACCAGACGCCGCAGCACCCCGAGGTGCAGCACCCCCAGACTCAGCACCCCCAGGCTCAGCACCCCTAGACTCCTCACGCCCAGGCTCAGCACCTCCAGGCTCCGCACCCCCAGGACCAGCACCCCCAGGCTTCGCACCCCCAGGCTCAACACCCCCAGAAGCAGCACCCCGAGCAGGACCACCCTCAGCAGGACCTGGGTCACCAGTGACCTCAACCGGCGCAGTCAAGGGAGGAGGGTCTACCTGAGACACACCTGAAGGAGCAGGACCGGGAGCGGGGAGGGGGGCTACCTGGGGAGCACCTGTTGCGAGGAAGAGCGGCGGGGGGGGGGGGGGAGAGGAGAAGTGTGGTTGGGGAAGAGACGGTAAAAGGGAACCGACTCGTCGAACGTGACGTCCTGAGAGGGGAAGACACGGCGCGAGGTGGGGTGGTAAAACTGCCAACCAGGCGCGTCAGGGACAAAGCCAAGGAAGACACAGGGAACAGCGCGGGCGGAGAGCTTGTCCGCGGTGGTATCGCGGACAAAGGCACGAGAACCTTAGACCCGGAACACCGACGCATCGCCAACCTCCCCCGTCCAACGCAGTGTGGGCGAGGTCTTCGGCAAGGAGACACGGGGCCAGAGGTTAAGCTGATGCGCGGCATAGCGGACCGCAAACGGCCACAGAAAATGGGGGGCAGCCGCATGGACCATGGAGGTACGAGCGACCTCCATGACCAAGCCAATGCGGCGCTCAGCAACCCCATTCTGCTGCGGAGAGGCCGGAAGCGTGAACGTCTGGCGAATGCCCTCCCCACGACAAAAGCTCTGCAGAAGTTCAGAGGAAAACTCCCCACCTCTGTCAGAGTGCAGACGCAGAACGGGAAACTCCGTCCCGAACCGCTCGCGGAGCTGGAGACGGGCAGCACGGATCCAAGGGATCAAAACATCAGGGACCTCACCCTTGGTGCGCAAGGGGAAGACCGTGGTGTAACGCGAGTAGTCGTCAACAACCAGCAGGAAGTACCGCTCGCGGTCCTGCCCACTGACGCGGGCTGGGCCCCACACGTCCATGTGCAGGGTCTGCAGGGGAGCAGTCATCGGGGGAAACGAGGAGGAGTGAGGAGCGGCGTGTTGCCGCCCCTCGACATAGGGAAGACAGGGAGGAGCAGGCGAGGGAGGGAGGGGAGGGAGAACCCTGGGAAGACTAGAGACAAGGACACGGCGGTGCATGTTACGAAGGCGCTGCACCGAGGGGTGACCAAGGCGGTGGTGCCAAAGGAGGGTCTGGTGCGACAAAGCGCGACACGAGCAGGGGGCCGCTAGCTGACCTGACGCAGACGCGGACGCAGCGACCTGAGGGGACACAGTAGTGTACAGACTCGAGCCAGGCGCACGGGTAAACGTGGCCAGGTGCCGGCCCGTCCGGGAGCACGTACAGTGGGTCACGTGCTGACCTCTAGGAGTGAACTGATCAACCCACTGGTCCTGGAGGTCAGCACCACTCACCACTGCTCACCAGTGGCGGGAAGGGCAGGCGCTCGATGGGCGAGCAGGGCCGGCGCTCGGCGGGCGGCGGCCGGGTAGGCGCACGACGGCGGCGACGGCGGGGCCGCGACAGCTGCGGCAGAGCAGGGCCACGTCGGCGGTAGAGCAGGTCCGCGACAGCTGCTGCAGGGCGGGGCCGTGACCGCTGCAGGGCGGGGCAGCGAGGACTGCTACAGGGTGGGGCCGCGACGGTGGCAGTCAGACAGGGGCGGCGTCCAGGGGGGGGGGAGGGCGTCGCGACAGGCCGGGGCGACGTCCAGGGGCAGCCGCGGCGCGCGGGGCTGCAGCGGGCTACGCGAGCTGCGGGCGCGGCGCGCGAAGCCGCAGTGGGCTGCGCGAGGACGGCAGCCGCGGCGCGCGGGGCTGCAGCGCGACGCGCGGGCAGCGGACGCGACGCGCGGGGCTGCAGCAAGCAGCGCGGGCTGCAGACGCGGCGCGCGGAGCAGCAGCGAGCCGCGCGCGGGCTGCCGAGGCGCGACTCGGGCAGCTTGGGCGACGCGCGGGGCAAAAAACCGGGCCGCGCGCAGGAATCAAGTCTGCGCGCTCTAAGCAGCAGCAGACCGCGCAGGCAGCAGACAGCAGGCAGACGGCGCGCGCAGCGTAGCACGTCACATGCACAGTCACAGTCACAGTCGTGGGGTAGCGGTAGGTGGGCCCGAAAAAAAAGACGGTCCTACGGACCTACTGCTCTGATACCATGTTAGAATCTAGAGACAGGAATGCATGAACTATAAAAGAGTTGGGTACAAGTATGAAACCCTAAAAGGGGCTGTACCCCATATTAGCTACCCCACTACAGCCTACACATATATAACATGCATATACTTTGACAACCAAATGTCATCCCCTAAAGTACCAATATGTCGTAGAGCAACATATGTATGGTGGTTAGAGAAAGAGTTTTGCAACCCAACCGAACCTCTGAATTCCTGCCTTCCAAACCTAGACTCTTTTGCGTTGAGTAATTCAGGTGTTGGGCTTCAAAGGGTTTTCATATCTACCCGAAGTATGGTTACATTATAAACTGAGAGGCTACAGCACAACTGTAGCAGCAATACCGAACCTACGCAGGGTCGATCCGCTAGAGGGGACACGTCCTCGTTCAATATCCAGCAACTCGCTTCACCTAGTAGCAACTTCACTCTATTTGCCCTGGCTGGCTTCGTAGCCCAGTTTGCTTCCCATATTCCCTGGTTACAGCCATATTCTCCATCATATTTCCCTTTCCTTTCAGGTACTTTCTCGCGGATTCCTCTGGTGGTGCCGCAGAAAACTCGCAGCCTGAAGCTTTTCGCGCCTTGGAGAAATTTCTCTGTCTGTCTAGCAGGCTATATCATATAATGTGCTGCGAGTAGTAGTCTGCTCACTGCCGCGAACATTCATGCCGACGTCGACGTTCCACTCACGGCTCAAACCTGATCGTAACTTTTCGTCGTCCTCTCCCCTCCGCTTTTTGAGTCGACTAAAAAAAGTTTCACTCGCAGTTGAAACCTGATAGTACGTTAACGTCGTCCTCTCGCTCCTCTTCCGGTTCCCGACTTGGACGGCCTCCTGTGACCTCATCGCCGGCGACGACCAAGCTGGCGACTCCGGCGACGGCCGACGACGCGGTGTGCGACTGTCCGCTGCGTCGCCACAACGTGCGGGTGATTGGGACGGGCAAAACGACGCTACTACTGTCGCACGGATTCGGCAGCAACCAAAAGGTACCCCCTGCTTCCGCTTTCCCGCATGCTTCCACTCAGCCAGACCCTTACCTTTACAACTACTTCCCTCGTACCCCTTACAAGCCGCCTCAAAACACCACATTGGCGTCCCATTTTCCGCGCACCACCCCGCGTATCACCGCGCAGATCTGGGACGGCGTGCTGTCGCACCTGGACCTGCGGCGCACGTTCCGCGTGGTGCTGTGGGACCTGATGGGCGCCTTCAGCACGCCCTCCGCGTCGTACGACTTCCAGCGCTACGCATCTCTCTGCTCGCACGCCGACGACCTGCTCGACGTGCTCCACGCGCTGGGGGTGGCGGGGGGCCAGGCGGGGAAGGGTGAAGAGGCGGGGGGCCAGGCGGGGAAAGTCGAGGAGGCGGGGGGCCAGGCGGCGGGGGAGGCGGAGGGGGAAGCGGAGGGGGAGGCGGAGGGGAAGGCGGAGGGGAAGGCGGATGGGAAGGCGAAGGTTAAGGCGAATGGGAAGGCGGAGCGGGAAGCGGAGGGGGAAGCGGAGGGGGAAGTGGAGGGGAAGGCGGAGGGGGAGGCAGAGGGCGTGGTGTGTGTGGGGCACAGCGTGAGCGGCATGGTGGCGCTGCTTGCAAGTCTCGAGCAGCCCAGCGCCTTCAAGCGCCTGCTGCTGCTTGGCGCCTCGCCTAGGTGAGCGAGGCTACACAGGTGGCTCGAAACCACAGAATTGCACGGGTTCTCGCCTAGGTGAGGCACCAGCTCTGCATTCCGAGTCATTCTGATTGCTGCCCTCCTTCCCACAACCAGGCACGTACATCAACGAGCCGTCCACGCGGCGGTACATTGTGACTTGACTTCCATTCTGCACATCTCAAACGCATTAACCCACCCATCCCATCCATCCCCCTTCTCCCCACCACCAGTTACCTCAACAAGCCATCCACGCCACGGGCTATGTTGGCGGCTTCAACCCATCCCATCCATCCCCCTTCTCCCCACCACCAGTTACCTTGAACAAGACATGCACGGGTTATGTTGGCGGCTTCAACCCCGCGAATCTGGAGCAGCTCTTGCCGTTGGCACGTTCTTTATCGCGCACACTCCCCCTCTCCGCCCCCCTGGCCAGGTACCTCAACGAGCCGTCCACGGGGTACGTGGGCGGGTTCGACCCGGCAGACCTGCAGCAGTTGTTTTTGTTTACACGACTCACTCAAATGCCCAACTCCCTTTCCCTATCTCCTCCTCCCCTTCTCCCCACCACCAGGTACCTGAACGAGTCATCCACGGGGTACGTGGGAGGCTTCGACCCGGCAGACCTGGAGCAGCTGTTCCGGGCGGTGCGCGAGAACTACATCGCGTGGGCGTCTCAAGCGCCCTCCCCATCCCCTTACCTCCCATCCCACCACCAGGTACCTGAACGAGCCATCCACGGGGTACGTGGGAGGCTTCGACCCGGCAGACCTGGAGTAGCTGTTCCGGGCGGTGCGCGAGAACGACATCGCGTGGGCGTCGGGGTTTGCACCGCTCATGGTGGGGCGGGACATCAGCAGCGCCGAGGTGCGGCAGCTCACTGAGAGCGTGCTGCTGGTGCGCCCTGACATTGCCCTCAGCGCCCTCCGGACGACCTTCCAGTCAGATTACAGACACGTGCTGGGACAGGTGGGTGGGTTGTTGAGACGTCTCAAGCTGGGTTGGGAGGTGCAGCAGTTGAGTGAGAGCGAGCTGCAAGTGCGTCCGGATATTGCTCTCAGCGCCCTCTGAACATCCTTCCAATCTGATTATAGGCACCTGCTGGGTCCGATGAGTTGCTTGTGGGTGGTGCGATAGGAGAGGGATGAAGAGCCGAGGAGGGAAGGAAGATGGGTAGTCTGACTCTCACGTTTCTGCTTCAAGAGTCTTGCCACGTTCCTGCTTACCGCACGTTCCTGCTTACCGCACGTTCCTGCTTACCGCACGTTCCTGCTTACCGCACGTGCCTGCTTACCGCACGTGCCTGCTTACCGCACGTGCCTGCTTACCGCACGTGCCTGCTTACTGCACGTGCCTGCTTACGCACGTGCCTGCTTACGTGCCTGCTTACCGCACGTGCCTGCTTACCGCACGTGCCTGCTTACCGCACGTGCCTGCTTACCGCACGTGCCTGCTTACCGCACGTGCCTGCTTACCGCACGTGCCTGCTTACCGCACGTGCCTGCTTACCGCACGTGCCTGCTTACCGCACGTGCCTGCTTACCGCACGTGCCTGCTTACCGCACGTGCCTGCTTACCGCACGTGCCTGCTTACCGCACGTGCCTGCTTACCGCACGTGCCTGCTTACCGCACGTTCCTGCTTACCGCACATTCCAAATTACCAACACCCTCTTTCCTTTCTCATGCACCGTGCCATGCCATGTGCAATGCAACACCATTTCCCCATCGTATTGACTCTTTCCCACTCGTCGTTGCCCTTCCCTTCTCTTCTCTCCCCAGGTATCATGCCCCGTGACAGTGCTATCCACAAAGAGTGACGCTGCCGTGCCAATGCAAGTGAGCGAGTACCTGAGGGAGGCGATACCTGGGGCGTGCATGGAGGTGCTACCCACACACGGCCACCTCCCCCACCTCACTCACCCTGCTGTTGTTGCTCACGCCATCCAACGCCACTCTGCTGCCCACGAGGTGCCTTTTGAGTCGGCTCAAAAGTCACCTGGGGCATGCATGGAGGTGCTACCCACACACGGCCACCTCCCCCACCTCACTCACCCTGCTGTTGTTGCTCACGCCATCCAACGCCACTCTGCTGCCCACGAGGTGCCTTTTGAGTCGGCTCAAAAGTCACCTGGGGCATGCATGGAGGTGCTACCCACACACGGCCACCTCCCCCACCTCACTCACCCTGCTGTTGTTGCTCACGCCATCCAACGCCACTCTGCTGCCCACGAGGTGCCTTTTGAGTCGGCTCAAAAGTCACCTGGGGCATGCATGGAGGTGCTACCCACACACGGCCACCTCCCCCACCTCACTCACCCTGCTGTTGTTGCTCACGCCATCCAACGCCACTCTGCTGCCCACGAGGTGCCTTTTGAGTCGGCTCAAAAGTCACCTGGGGCATGCATGGAGGTGCTACCCACACACGGCCACCTCCCCCACCTCACCCACCCTGCCGTCGTTGCTCACGCCATCCAACGCCATGCTGCTGCCCACGACGCTCTGGACCACGCTGTAGAGCACTGCACGGCACGGCACCGCACTGAATTGCATAGCACTGCACGGTGTTGTGTAGAGGCCGGAGACCCACTGCAGACGGCTCGGGGATATGGAGGTGGGGCGCACATGGCTGGCTTGGATTTCCACCGATCCGACCGTTTGATCCCTCCTTGCTGCTGCATCCACCACAGAGGGATTTCTAGAGCATCCCACACAGACGCACAGAGGGATTGCTTGCTGCAGAGGCAGCAGGGAGAGGCACAGGCAGATGCAGCAAGCAGTGGCAGCAGGAAGAGACACAGGCAGAAGCAGCAGGAAGAGACAGCAAGCAGAAAGAGCAGGAAGAGACAGCAAGCAGAAAGAGCAGGAAGAGACAGCAAGCAGAAAGAGCAGGAAGAGACAGCAAGCAGAAGCAGCAGGAAGAGACAGCAGGCAGAAGGAGCAGACAGCATTAGTGGATAGCACTGCAGTAACTAACAACTGATTTGTGCAGCCAAACTCACAGCACAATGAGCTCAACGAATAAGGGCGGCGGCGGTACTTCTCTGTGTGGGTATGGGTGGGTGGGACCTACTCGAAGAACAGCACCCATGGCTAGCAATGAGCAACAGCAGTTGCATGTGTATGGCTCGCTTCATTCCCCTGTATAGCTGCCCTTAGGGCCGGAATACACCTTGAAGTGATGTTGAATAAAAGTTTGGTTTTAATGGTTTTGCGAGCTCATTGTGTTGCAATAAGAAGCCCAACCAGAAACACTAGTTTGGTTTTAAGCGAGCCAGCCTCTCTGCAAATCCCCATTGGTTACTCGATGATGCCTGTGGCGACTCATCCCTGCCTGTGTTATCTGCAGCACCCATGTTGCTGGTACCTTCCATACCATCACTGTCACCATCACCCCCGGTTACATTACCCGTTAGACTGGCTCGATTCCCCCTGCCACCTTGAATCCCTGCTCCACTTTCAAACCCCCTAGACTGATAAGCCGCCCCGTCATATTCAGACACATGATAAACACTGGATTTATATGCATCTGTGTGGTTAGCACTAGTCGTAACTTCCACATCATCAGCATGAGCTGGCAGGTCTGCCTGGGGTAGGTGCGGAGCAGGGGAGGTTTCTTCCTGCATGGCTGGCATGTGGGAGAGAGGCAGGTCGGAGTGCGCGCTCATAGTAGACTGTGCTCCTGGGGACTTGGGCACCACTGTAGATGGGGTGGTTTGTGATTGTACACCATGTGACTGCACCGCAGGTGAATGTAACCCGCGAGATTGTGGTTGCAAGCCATGTGACTGTACCCCATGTGCCTGTATCCCGTGTGACTGTACGCCATGTGATTGTAAGCCATGCAACTGTGGGCCCAGAAGCGGGGTGCTGTGGGGCAGCAGGTGGCTGTCGGTGCTGCTGGCGGGGGTGTGCAGGGAGGAGCGTGTGGAGGAGGCGGCCCGCTTGAGCAGCAGGGAGCGCAGGAAGGCGGGGAACTGCGGGTTGGCGGCGTCGTGATGGATGAAGGGGAACCACTCCGTGCTGTCTGCTATGCTCACAGGCGACCTGCATGGGAGGGATACGGGGAGTGGTGGGGATGAGCAGTGGGAGGATGTGGGGAGGGGGCATTGTGGGGGTGTGGTGGATGAAGGGGAACCACTCCGTGCTGTCTGCTATGCTCACAGGCGACCTGCATGGGAGGGATACGGGAATGTGCAGTGCGAGGATGTGAGGCGTGAGCATGTGGGGGTGAGGTTGCATGAAGGTGAGGTTGCATGAAGGTGAGGTTGCATGTACGCGATGCTCACAGGTGATCTGCGGGCATGTGAGGTGCGAGCATATGAGATGGGAGTGTGTAGGTGCGGGTATCTGAGGTGCGGGTGTGTGAGGAGCAATGGGTGGTGGGAGAAGGAGAGTCGCCGCACGTTCATACATAGTACACTCCACTCCACACCACTGCTCGGCACCGCCTACCTGGGGCTCTCCTGCAGCAGCATGGCTGTGCGTTCGTCCACCTCCCCCCACAGCTGGTCGACAACAGCAGCGGGCAGTCCCTGCGTGCTGTAGCAGTCATCCTGGTACCACACACAGAGATGCACCAGCTGGTTCGCGTTCAGGTCCGGGCAGAGCGAGCGCAGGTGTGTCAGCGAGCATGAGGGCTTGTGCTCCATGGCCTGGGGGGGAAGGGGGAGGGGGGGAAAGGAAAGAAGGGGGATTGGGGGGTCAGGCGGGGATGGGAGGGGTGAAGAAGGGGTGAGAAGCAGGGAAGAGCAGAGAACAGGTGTTTCTGTCAAGTGATCAGGGGACGAAGGTGCAGCAGCAAGCACGAGAGCTTGTGCTCCATGGCATGGGAAAGCGAGGGGGTGGGAGTGTGTGGAGGGAAGGAGGAGAGTTGGGAGCAGAAAAGAGCAGAGAGGACTAGAGGCAGGGGGCATGACCATGCATACACACTGCAACGAGCAGCACCACAATGCACCCACCAGCACCACACTGCACCCACCAACAGCGACACGGCTTGCTGCAGATGCCTCAAGTGCCGCCAAACAGCCTTCTTCGCCTGCCCCGCATCCTCCTCCTCCTCCTCACTCCCCTCCCCCTCACCCCCCTCCTCTCCTCCCTCCTCTTCCCCTTCTCTCCCATCATCCCCCTTCCCACCATCCATCCCTGCCCCTCTGTGGGCGTGCAGCGGCTCCCAGAGCACCTCGGGGAGCTCCTCCAGAAAGACGTTGAGCAGGGAGAGGGCGTCGCACAGCAGCTTGCCGTTGCTGTGCGTGCAGGGACACCACGTGCTGCGCACCATGAGGCTGGGAGGTGGGGAAGGGAGTGAAGGGGGAGAGGGGAGGGGGGTGGGGGGATCACAGGGTTGGGGAGGGCCTTTGGCTTGCCATTGCTGCCGTTGTCATTCGTGCAGCGGCACCATGTGCAGCAGAGCACAGCACAGCATGCACCATGAGGCTCCCAGAGCACCTCGGGGAGCTCCTCCAGGAAGACGTTGAGGAGGGCAAGGGCGTCACACAGCAGCTTGCCGTTGCTGTGCGTGCACGGGCACCACATGCTGCGCTGCGCACCATGAGGCTGGGGAAAGGAAAAAGGGGGGACGGGAAATCACAGGGTTGGGAGAAGCCATTTACATGTTTGTCATCGCTGCCGTTGCTGTGCGTGCACGGGCACCACGTGCTGCGCACCATGAGGCTGGGGGAAGGGGGAAGAGAATCACAGGGTTGAGAGAGGCCATTCACATGTCATCGCTGCCGTTGCTGTGCGTGCACGGGCACCACGTGCTGTGCACCTCTTGAACACGACTGTACCTGTTGAAGACGCGCACGTTGATGAAGGCGAGGAGGTGCTTCAGCACGCTCTGGATGACGGGTGGCGGCACCTGGTTCTCCAACAGCACTAGTGCTGCCCGCCGCAGCACCCCCACCACGCTGCTCCACGTGCTGCCCACGTGCTCCTTCAGAACCACGCTCGGGAACTTGGGCAATGCGCCTGCCGTGCTCCCCCGCCTTCCAGGTGTTGTTTCTGCTGCCGTCCCCTCATTTCCTTGTGATTGCGGCTGCTGTGGCTGCATAGCAAGCAGGTGGGTGCGGAAGAGGAAATGCTGAGAGAGGGAAAATCACCACGCCACTCCACTTTCTCCTTCACGATCACACACATTGAGAGCTTGGGCAATGCGCTCCCCCTTTTGTGTCTCCCAGATGCTGCTGCTGCGACTTCTGCCCCCTTCGTTTGCATGTGATTGTGGCTGCATCAAGAACAGGTGAATGGGGGCGAGAGAAGAGAACTGAAGGCGGGAGCCACGCCACACACTTCTCACATTCTGCCTTGCAGCAACAGCAAGAGCAGTGACAAAGGAAGGAAGTAGAGAAAGCAAGAGCAAAACAAGAACCCAGTCCAAGCAGAAGCGAGGAAAATTAAACTGTTTCTAAAGCAAAGGCGAAAGCAAAAGTAAAGCAAAACCGAAGGCAAGAGCAGAAGAGGCGAAAGCAAGCGGTTGGCAGCACTGACAGGTGGTTGCAGGAGGGCAGCGACTTGCGAGGTGCAGTGGTGCGTGAATAGCCCCACTGCATGCTGCACACACGCGTCCACCTTGTGTGCTAGTAGCATGGTCTCCGCTGGTAGTGCGAACTGGGGGGGGATGGATGAAGCACAAGGAGAAGAGCGTAAGGAGTGGGCAACTCAAGCACTAGGAAGGATTTATCAGCCCCACCGCATGCTGCACACACGCATCCACCTTGTGTGCTAGTGGCATGGTCTCCGCTGGTGGGAGGGAGGGAAGAGGCGAGAGTAGAGTGGGGAAGAGCGGAAGGATCAGAAGAGAGGGAGCGGTGCAGCACACATGGGGTCCACCTTGTGAGCCAGCAGCATGGAATCCATTGGCAGGGCGAATTGGCCGCGGTGAGATGTGGAGAGGCAGGGGCGAGCGGCACAATGGGGCAGAGCAGAGAGAGCAGGAATAGAGAGGTACAGCACACACGCACCCACCTTGTGCGCCCACAGCACAGCATAGGCGCAGCTACCACCACCCCCAACCACAGGGTGCAACAAACATGTGAGATGTTCTACCTTACACTCGAGCAGGCCCAACCGTTTTCCATATCTCCTAGCCCTACCACCACCCCCAACCACCACCACCTCTACTACCCCCAACCATCCCCTACCAGCTTCTACTACCCCTACCACCCCCATACCACCCCCCTACCACCCCCATACCACCCCCCTACCACCCCCATACCACCCCCCTACCACCCCCCTACCACCCCGTACCACCCCCCTACCACCCCTTGCCCTCCCGCGGCAGGGCCTCACCAAGCCAGTGGGTCCGGGTGCAGCAGAATCAGCGTCCTGCCCCGTGGGAGCACACGCCAGGCTGGTGGTGCCGGCGCGCGGAACAGCGTAGGCAGAGGCAGGCACAGGAGAGGAGGAAGCGGTGGGAAGGGAGGAGGAGGGCGGTGGGGCTCCTGGGAGATGAGCGGTGGTAGCAACACCAGAAGCGGCATTGAGAGAAGCATTGGGGGCGGTACTAGCAGTGGTGGAAGGAGGTTCAGCAGTAGAAGCTGTGGCCACATGGAGCGAGTGAGGTACGGGAGCATGGTGGGGATAGGAGTGCTGCGGAGGGTTGTTGTTCTGGGTGGGGCGAGGGGGTGGACGGGACGGAGGCGGCACGGCAGGCGCAGCAGAAGCAGCAGAGGGAGGGGCGGGGGAGGAGGAGGAGGAGCGGGAGGAGAAGAGCCCACTGAAGAAAGAGGCCGCAGCCTTGATGCTGCTGCGATTGCCAGACGTGCTGCTGCTACTTGATGCTGCTGGGTTGGTTGCCCCCACAGCGCTCCCGGCAGACGTAGCCCTGGCAGGGATTCTAGCAGTAGCAGTAGTGGGACTGGCGCCAGTGGCGGCTGTGAACCCATCAGCAGCAGAAGCTGCTGCTGCTGCAGCTTCACTGGGAGATGCAGGAGCTTTGAGCGTTGGAGACGCAACAGCAGAAGAACCCACCACCTCCTCCGCCCGCCCCTTCGCCTGCTGCGAATCCGCCTCCATCTCACCTCCCCCAACCCCTCCCCCCGCCACCGCTGCCGCCGCCGCAGCAGCCATGGCTTGCCAGCGGGCGGGCTTAAGCCCCCCCAGCAGCAGGGCGTGCAGGGCAACAAGCGTGGAGATCCAATACGCCAGGCGCTCCAGGCTCCCTGCTGAGCGCTGCAGGGCCGTGCGGATGGCTGATAGCACCTCGTCGTGTGGCGGGATGGGGGATGCGGAGAGGGAGAGGGAGGAGAAGGGGGAGAGGGAGGAGAAGGGGAGGGAGGAGGCGGAGGAGTAGGGGGAGTAAGGGGAGTAGGGGGAGAAAGGGGTGGAGGGGGGGAGGAAGGGAGGGGCGGCTGAAGCACCAGCCGCTGCTGCTGCTGTGGGTGTGCTAGGGAGGTTGCTGGGTAGTGCAGTCGAGAAAGCGTTGGTGGTGTTGGCAGTGGTGGTAGAAGAGGGAGGAGGGGCGTGGAAGGAGAGGTGCGGCCAGAAGCGGAGGATGGTGAAGAGGAAGCAGGCAGGCACTGAGTGGCCCGAGGGGGTGAAACCAAGCGGTCGTACCACGTAGCGCAGCAGGTACTGCACCTGAGTGGGTGTGGAGGGGCGGGGAACGCGGGGAGCGAGTGAGAGGGGCGATTAGAAATGGGAGTGGTGGCCTGAGTGGCCCGAGGGGGTGAATCCCAGCGGTCGCACCACATAGCGCAGCAGGTACTGCACCTGTGGATGTGGAAAGGGGAGGGAGGGAGGGAGGGAGGGAGGGAGGGAGGGAGGGAGGGAGGGAGGGAGGGAGGGAGGGAGGGAGGGAGGGAGGGAGGGAGGGAGGGAGGGAGGGAGGGAGGGAGGGAGGGAGGGAGGGAGGGAGGGAGGGAGGGAAGGAGGGAGGGAGGGAGGGAGGGAGGGAGGGAGGGAGGGAGGGAGGGAGGGAGGGAGGGAGGGAGGGAGGGATGGAGGGAGAATTCAGTGGAATCCCAGTGAAGTGACAGTGGAATGATAGCGAAATGACAATGGGAGCAGATGGCATGGTGTGGCCATGGCTTACCTGGGAGGAGTAGGAGGGAGCAGAGGCAGACATGGCTCCTGCCGTGGGCGATACAGGAGACGAGGGCACCATTCCACTGCCACCACCCCCACCCCCACCGCCATACTGCGGCTGCTGCTGCAGCAGGCGGCGAGTGAGAATGCCCGGCCGCCCACTCCTCTCCCTCTCCCTGCCTCGCCCCCTCTCCTGTGCAATGCCCCTCGTCCCTGCCGCCCCTGGCCCCTCCATGTGCTCCTTCTTCCCCGCCTGCAGGCTGCACGGGGACGGAAGGGGGAGAAGATGGGGGGCAGAGGAGGGGCAGGGGAGAGAAGGAAACAGTTGGTTTCACCAACAACTGAAGCACCTTCCACACATAGCCCTGTAACGCACCTCATCAGCCCCAGCCCGCCTGCCCACCTGCCCGCCTGCCCACCTGCCCGCCTGCCCACCTGCCCGCCTGCCCGCCTGCCCACCTGCCCACCTGCCCACCTGACCATCAGCAGCGCACCTGTCAAGTTGTTGCTGCAGCGAGTGCACCTGCTGCGGATGTTCATGCACGTGCACTGCGCACCTGTCGAGTGCACCCACCTGTCCACCTGCCCCGTCCTTCAGCAGCGCACCTGTCGAGCTGGCGTTGCAACAAGAGCACCTGCTGCTGCAGTTCAAGCACTTGCGTTTGCATTGCACCCAGCTGCACCATCAACCTCTCAATCCGCCCGTTACCACCTCACCTAATCCACCTGCCCCTTCTCCAGCACAGCAGCGCACCTGTCGAGCTGGCGTTGCAGCAGTGAGTGCGCCCACCTTTCCATCTGCCATTCACCAACCTACCCGCCCTACCTGCCCCAGGCCTCAGCAGCCCTCAACAGCGCACCTGTCGAGTTGTCGTTGCAGCGAGTGCACCTGCTGCTGCAGCTCAGCCGCCAGAGCCTGCCACTGCAGCAGCTCGCGCCTCACCTCCTCCATCCTTGCTTCCGCCTGTCGCGCCCTCGCCCGCGCCACACTCGCCTCCTGCCGTGTCTCCTTGTACGCCCCTCTCAGCCAGTCCGCCTCTGCTCCCAGCCGCGCCGCCATGTCCCGATCCTTCTCCGCCAAGGCTATCATCTGGTGCAGGCTCGGTGCCGAACCACTCCCTCCTGCTCCGGCTCCGCCCGACCCTCCCCCGCTTCCCCCGCCGAAGCTCACCACTGAAGGCGTTCCAGCGCTCCCTGCCCGGCCGTAAAACCCGCCCCAGGTCGCACCTCCCCCAGGCCCACCCCGGAACCCCCCTGGTGGCCCCGTTCCCCCCATTCCCAGGCGCATTGCCATTGACGGCCTGGCACCTCCCAGCATCCCCTCCCTGAGGCTCCAGTCTTCGTCCAAAGAGCCCATGCTGGAGGTGGAGGGGGAGGAGCACAGGCGGTCGGAGTGGCAGCGCGGCGGCACGATCATCCCCACCGGCGGGCTGCGGTAGGCTGGAGGAGGCGGCGGGGGGAAGTCCGGGAGCTGCGGGGGGAAGTCCGGGAGCTGCGGGGAGAGGCCTCCTGGGGTAGGGTTGTCTGCTGCTGCAGTGGTATGCGGCGGAAGGGGCGGAGGGGGAGGTGGGGGAGGAGGGGAGACGAGGTAGGTGTAGGTGTATCCGTCGTCATCAGGGGTGACTCCATCTGGGGTGCGCTCGCTGATCATGTCGGTGAGAGTGTCGCCCTCCTCCCCTCGCATGAGCACCACTGAGGACGACGTCTCCTCCACGCCTGACACCACTGACGGCGGTGCCAGGCCCGACACCGCCGCCCTCTCCCTCTCCCCGTCCCGCTGCCGCTCCCGCCCCGCCTGCTCTGCCCTGCTGGGGTCCCCACTGTGCCACTCGATCATCATCTGCCCTGGGATCACCCCAGGCACAGGCCTGCCAACAGCAGCAGAAGCACCAGCAGAGGCATCACCAGAGGCGTGACCAGCAGCAGCAGCGGCAGCGGCAGCAGCAGCGAGAGCAGCCACGGATTCATCTAGCTCTGCCTTCATCTCCTGCACTTGCCTCATCAGCTCCTCGGCCCTTCTTTCCGCTGCCTCCACCCGTGCTCTCTCCTCCTCCGCCCTCCTCTCAGCCCCTTCTGCCTCCTCCCTTATTAACTCCACCCGCCCTTCAACAACCATCACCTCCTGCTTCAATCCCATCACCTGCCCTTCAGCCTCCCGCAGCCTCCCCCTCACTACCTCCAACTCCTCCCTCAGTCTCCTAATCTCCGCATCCTTCCCCTCGGCCTCCCTCCTCCACTGCTCCACCTCCCTCCTCCTCTCCCTCACCTCCCTCTCAACCGCCTCCTGCTCGCTCGCCCGAGCTTCCCACTCCCGTCGCTGACGGTCTGCCTCCCGAGCCTCCGCCTCAAGTTCGGCGATCCGAGCCTCGGCTTCGGAGGTTCGGATCTCCAGGTCGCAGCGGGTGGCTCGGAGGTCTCGGTCGAGGGCATGGGCGTGGCGGGACCGAACCTCCAGCTCCCTCTGCAGGGCGGATACTGACTCCTCTGCTGCTGCTCTCGCACGCTCTGCCTTGTCCTGAGAAGGGATGGAGCGGGATGCAAGGGGGTGCGGTGCGGTGGAGCGGGTGGGTGTTTAGAGTAACATGCACGAGCAGGTAAGGCAAGGTTCAGCTGATCAGCTGAGATGGGCTTTAAGAACATCAGTTTGAGCCTGTAGAGCACATGGGTCTTTCCCAGGTCGCAGTGTAGCCTGCCCTGGCGGACAAGGCCTCTCACGTCTCTCCCCCATCTCAACAACCCCATCTAATCTGCATGCATCTCACCCCCATCTCAACAACCCCATCTAATCTGCATGCATCTCACCCCCATCTCAACAACCCCATCTAATCTGCATGCATCTCACCCCAATCTCAACAACCCCATCTAATCTGCATGCATCTCACCCCCATCTCAACAACCCCATCTAATCTGCATGCATCTCACCCCCATCTCAACAACCCCATCTAATCTGCATGCATCTCACCCCCATCTCAACAACCCCATCTAATCTGCATGCATCTCACCCCCATCTCAACAACCCCATCTAATCTGCATGCATCTCACCCCCATCTCAACAACCCCATCTAATCTGCATGCATCTCACCCCCATCTCAACAACCCCATCTAATCTGCATGCATCTCACCCCCATCTCAACAACCCCATCTAATCTGCATGCATCTCACCCCCATCTCAACAACCCCATCTAATCTGCATGCATCTCACCCGCATGACGCGCAGCACGGCCAGGCGGATGGCATCAACAGCCATGTCCAACTTCTTGCGCGGCGGGGCCAGCTCCGCCTGCTGCTGCGCTGCCTGTGGTGGTGCGTGCGGGCGGGACAGAGAGAACAATCACAGAGAGAGATGAGGTAAGGGAAGGGAGGGATGGGGTATGGGAGCGACCAAAACAAATAAACACTGTGAACGAGCACGGAGAAGTGAGGAGGAGGGACCAAGGCACCACCATGGGGGATACTCAGAATCAGAACCTGCAAAGTGCGACAAGTAACCATGTAAGCCTATCAAGGTTACCACAAGTGCACAATCGTGCAAAAGTAGATCAAAGAAAGAGTTTACGCCTCCTTTCCTTTAGAAACTGACCCGTTTGAGGCGGTTGAGCCTCAATCTGGCGACTCTCATCCTCAGGTGCTGCTGCAGCAGTTGCCAGGGGCGGCGACTGCGGTACCCCCTCCAGTGCGCCTGGAGAGAAAGGGGAAAGTCAGAAGGGAAGAAAGGCAAGGGAGCGAGGGGGGTGTCGAGTCAAGCCAGCAGTCACCACGTCATCAGGCGTTGTTGCCTTGACTCAACCTTATAAAGGAACAAGTGGAGTTGAAAGGAATCATTCCTCGGTTATCAAGCCATCTGCACCCTACATCATCTTTTGAGTTGACCCAAAAGACTCAGATGCACCGCGAGTGAACCGACCTGAATGGTGATAGCAGCCCAGTGCTGCTGCTGCCACTCCTCCGCATATCGCGCCATCTGCCCCCGGCGGCGGCGCTGCAGCAGGATGGCCACGCGGCGCAGCTCCAGGAAGCCACAGCGCACCACCAGCCCGCGCCACCAGCTCTGTATGCGCACTGCTGCCCTGCGCTCTCTATGCACTCTCATTATCCTCCGGGTGAGGTAGCCTGGGGGTAGTGGAAAAAGGGGGAGACAAAAGGGTAAGGCGTGGGGGAAGGAGGGCGGGGGCGCAGCTCCAGAAAGCCACAACGCACCACCATCCCCTGTCACCAGCTCTGAATGCGCACCGCTTCCATCCACTCTCTCTGCACTCGCACCAGCCTTCGGGTGAGGTAGCCTGGGGGAGTGGAGCAGAGATGGGGGGGTGTGGGGGGGGAAAAACAGGCAGGGAGGGAGGAAAGGGTTTGAGGCGCCATCAGCTGTGAGTGTACATTGCTAGCTTCCGCTCCCTCTGCACTCGCACTGACCGCCAGGTAGGTAACATGGGGAAGCGGAAGGAGGGAGGGGATTGAGGCGCCACCGCCTCTGAATGCACACTGCTGCACTTCCCTCTTTCCGCCCTCGCACCATCCTCCGTGTGATGTAGCATGGGGGAGCAGAGGGAGGGGAAGAGAAATGCATAAGGGGTTCTTATGCTTTCAAGTCAGGTTCATGCCTTTAACTAATGTCCCTTGCCATTCCCTCACTGCCCATGCGTTTCACATACCTCGCCAGGCGCTCTGAATGGCAATGGTGGCGTGCATGCGATGCTTGCGCCACAGGTAGCGCCGCACAGCCCTCTGGATGGTTGCTGCTGCCGCGTCCACACGCTGCGACCGACACGCCTCCAGCGCCTGCAGCTGCCCCGCACGCAGGAACACCATGGTTCGCCCCACCTGGGGACGATAGTGGGAGAGGAGAAAGTGAAGGGATGGAGTGAGAGGATGCAGCTGCCCTGCCCTCAGAAACACCATGGTGCGCCCCACCTGGGTGGGGGGGAAGGTGGGTGGCGGGACAAGAGGAAGTGCGAGTTGAGAGGATGCTTGACACGCCTCCAGCACCTGCAACTGGCCCGCCCGCAGAGAAACCATGGAGCGCGGTGACTTTTGGGTCAACACAAAACCCACCTGGTTGGGGAAGTAGATGGGTGGGTGGAGAGGAGTGAGTTGGTGGTTGAGATGAAAAGGGAATGGCCGCAGTCACACCAGTGCTCCCCATTATCTCAACACCATGCTCCCCATTATCTCAACACCATGCTCCCCATCATCTCAACACCATGCTCCCCATTATCTCCACACCATGCTCCCCATTATATCAACACCATGCTCCCCATTATCTCCACACCATGCTCCCCATTATCTCCACACCATGCTTCCCATTATCTCCACACCATGCTCCCCATTATCTCAACACCATGCTCCCCATTATCTCAACACCATGCTCCCCATTATCTCCACACCATGCTCCCCATTCTCTCCACACCATGCTCCCCATTATCTCCACACCATGCTCCCCATTATCTCAACACCATGCTCCCCATTATCTCCACACCATGCTCCCCATTATCTCCACACCATGCTCCCCATTATCTCAACACCATGCTCCCCATTATCTCCACACCATGCTCCCCATTATCTCAACACCATGCTCCCCATTATCTCCACACCATGCTCCCCATTATCTCCACACCATGCTCCCCATTATCTCAACACCATGCTCCCCATTATCTCAACACCATGCTCCCCATCATCTCAACACCATGCTCCCCATTATCTCCACACCATGCTCCCCATTATATCAACACCATGCTCCCCATTATCTCCACACCAGTGCTCCCCATTATCTCAACACCATGCTCCCCATTATCTCCACACTATGCTCCCCATTATCTCAACACCATGCTCCCCATTATCTCCACACCATGCTCCCCATTATATCAACACCATGCTCCCCATTATCTCCACACCAGTGCTCCCCATTATCTCAACACCATGCTCCCCATTATCTCCACACTATGCTCCCCATTATCTCAACACCATGCTCCCCATTATCTCCACACCATGCTCCCCATTATCTCCACACCATGCTCCCCATTATCTCAACACCATGCTCCCCATTATCTCAACACCATGCTCCCCATTATCTCCACACCATGCTCCCCATTATCTCCACACCATGCTCCCCATTATCTCCACACCATGCTCCCCATTATCTCCACACCATGCTCCCCATTATCTCCACACCATGCTCCCCATTATCTCAACACCATGCTCCCCATCATCTCAAAACCATGCTCCCCATTATCTCCACACCATGCTCCCCATTATATCAACACCATGCTCCCCATTATCTCCACACCACGCTCCCCATTATCTCCACACCATGCTCCCCATTATCTCCACACCATGCTCCCCATTATCTCAACACCATGCTCCCCATTATCTCCACACCAGTGCTCCCCATTATCTCAACACCATGCTCCCCATTATCTCCACACCAGTGCTCCCCATTATCTCAACACCATGCTCCCCATTATCTCCACACCATGCTCCCCATTATCTCAACACCATGCTCCCCATTATCTCCACACCATGCTCCCCATTATCTCAACGCCATGCTCCCCATTATCTCAACACCATGCTCCCCATTATCTCCACACCATGCTCCCCATTATCTCCACACCATGCTCCCCATTATCTCAACACCATGCTCCCCATTATCTCCACACCATGCTCCCCATTATCTCAACACCATGCTCCCCATTATCTCCACACCATGCTCCCCATTATCTCAACACCATGCTCCCCATTATCTCCACACCATGCTCCCCATTATCTCAACACCATGCTCCCCATTATCTCCACACCATGCTCCCCATCATCTCAACACCATGCTCCCCATTATCTCAACACTCGACACCATGCTCACCATTATCTCGACACCACGCTCACCATTATCTCGACACCACGCTCACCATTATCTCGACACCATGCTCCAGGCTTGTGCCATAGAAACAGTGACACTACTGCCAGCCTGTCACACTCAGCTGCCAGCCTGTCATACTCACTCGCCAGCCTGTCACACACCTGCCAGCTTGTCGCATTCACCTGAGAACCTCTTAGACTCACTTGCCAGCCTGTCACACTCACTCGCTAACCTGCCTGTCACATTCACCGGCCAGCCTGACACACTCACCTGCCAGCCTGACACACTCACCTGCCAGCCTGTCAGATTGGCATTGGTGAGAAAGAGCTTCACAATGTCAGGCTCCGACGCCCTGCGATGGTGAGAGGCAATGGGCGTGAGAGGGAGGTCATGGGGACGAGCGAAGGGCGTGAGGAGCACCGAAGGGGAGGGGCATGGGGAAGAGAGGGGCATAATACGGACGCATTTGGCAGAAGGACGGAGAGTTGTCCAACAAAAGGGGATGTCTGTTCTAAAGGGGCCCATGGAGCTGCACAGAGGAAGGATACTGGGAGGCTGATGTGGCTGCTTGCTGCACCTGATACTGATATTAGTTGCAGCCCCAAGAAGGGCACACATGAGAATGCGAGGTGCAGGTGAAGGTGCTCAAGTGCAGGTACAGACAAGGACTCGGATCTGGGGTGAAACGCGACAAGCACATCAGGATGGTGGCATATGGGTCGGCCAGCCACTCACGTCGAGAGCTTGAGAAAAGCAGGAGAGTGGGAGGGCAGCAGCAGGGCAAAGCGCTTGATGAAGTCTCCAAAGGGGCGACTTTGGGTCGACTCATAAGCCCACTTACGTTGAGAGCTTGAGAGCAGCAGGGGAGTCGGAGGGCAGCAGCAGGGCAAAGCGTTCGATGAAGTCACCAAATGGGCGGCGCGATGGGAAGCCGGCAGAGCACACTCGAATGGCCTCCACCACCCCCTGGTGGGAGGGGGCAGCGGCAGATGGGAGAAGACAGAGCGTAGTTTTGAGTCGACTCAATAGCCCGCAGAGCACACTCGAATGGCCTCCACCACCCCCTCGTGGTGGGAGGGGGCAGGGGCAGAGGGGCGGGAGGAGAGTGAGGAGCACAGAAAAAAAGTTAGTGGTTGTAAAAATCATCGAAGCCGGCAGAGCACACTCGAATAGCCTCCACCACCCCCTCGTGGTGGGAGGGGGCAGCAGCAGAGGGAAGGAGAGAGAGCGTGAAGAGAAAAAGGGGGGAAAGAGACTCCCGAGAGAAGGGATGCGAGCCATGGATTCTTGTATCCATTGAAACAGCTGTGGATGAGAACAAGAGCTCTTAATGTCGAACAAAATGCCGTGTAATTCCCACCCAGTCCATGCTTACATACAATGCAAAAACATGTGCAAGCTCAAGCCCAGACCGCACGCACGCCCCTCTCACCCCCCCCACACTGCAGCTGATTGGCCACAGAGCTCTTAACATCGATCAAAGATATGTGTGCGCTGCAGCTCAATTCTTCACACGCCTCTCTCATCCCACACCGCGTGTCTCTCTCACCCAAGATCGCAGCTGATTGGCCACAGAGAGAGAGCCATTCAAAGGCCAAACCCATGCTCACATACAATACATCGACATGTGTGTGCTCAAAACCAGCCTGCATGCCCCTCTCACCCCACACCGCACGTCTTTCTCACCCCGGAGCGCAGCTGACTGGCCACGGAGAGCCAGTCGAAGACAGCCGGGTGGCTGGCGGCGTTTGGCTTGATGCAGCGCACGTAGTGGGGCTGCATGGCGGAGAGCGTCTTCATCAGCTGCGCCAGCTGGAGCTGCAGTGCGGGCGGCAGGATGGGAGGGCGCCAGGTTGGGGAGGGGCAGGGATGGGGGGTTTGAGCAGAGCAGGGCAGCGCATAGCAAGGGCGGTCAAAGCAGAGACTTGATGCAGCGCACGTAGTGGGCTGCAAGGCGGGGAGCGTCTTCATCAGCTGCGCTAGCTGGAGCAGCAGCGAGGACATACAGTGGGTTAGGAGAGAAAGCAGAGGGATATTGAGGCGTTCGGTTCGGGGCAGAGGACATGTGAGCTGAGAAAGGCTTTTCATAGGAACAGCGCTCTTAGCAAGGGTGGTGAAAGCAGGGCGTTGATGCAGGGCACATCGTGGGGCTGCATGGCAGCGACTGCCTTACTGCACCAACTTTCCAGTTGACTTGACCAGCCACCCTCAGCGTCTTACCTTGAATTGCCGGCCCAGAGACGTCACGCGTGACCCCCCACCCCTCCCTCCCGCACTGCCCCTCACTCCCCCTCCCCCACCCACTCCTCTCGGGCTCTGCCCATCCCCCAGGGGGCTCTGAGGCCCTCCAAGCAGCCGCCGCCCCACGCCGCCCGGGCCGCCCGCATCAGCACTGGCAGAGGGGCTTCTGAAGGCGTTGAGGCGCTGACCGAACGGGCTTGAAAGGGAAGACGCGGGGCTGGGAGGGGCGTTGCCAGCGTCGCCAGCAGCAGCCTTGGCAGCAACGGCGGCGTTTATGTAGGAGTAGGCGCCAGGGAAGGGGGGTTTGCCGGGAGTAGTGGGAAGGGGGCTACCCGGCGTGGGAAGGAAGGGGGAGGTGGGGGTGGTGGGAGGGTTGGCGGGAGGTGGGGAGAAGAGGGCGGCGAGAAGGTCGTCTGATGATTGCTCTAGCAGCTGCTGCTGCTCTGGGATGGTGACGTCTGTGTTCTTGGCCATGAACTCAAGCAGGGAGTAGCGCACCTGTGCAATGGAAGAGGAGAGGAGGGGGCGAGAGGGGGGGGGGGGGGGAGAGGGAGGGGAGAGGAGGGGGGGAGAGGGGGGGGAGAAAGGGGGGAGAGAGAGGTGGGGGGGTTGGGGGGTGGGGAGTGTAGGGGAGCTGCTAAGCAGAAGGGGAGAACCCCAAGTAGAGAGAATGGATGGGCGAAAGAGTGGTCGTAGATAGAAACGGATGGAAGGAGGTGCGGGATGGCAAAGTCTATGTGGGAGGGGGGGGACGCACAGCAGCGCTAGATCAACGGCGAGAGCAGCAACAGCAGCAGTGGCGGCAGCGGCAGCAGCAGCCGCATCAGCAGCAACAACAAGAACCACCACCACCACCACCAGCAGCAGCACTAGTGAGCAGCAGCGGGGACATGCCTTGCCTTGCCTTGCCTGCGTAGTGCGAGAGAGTGAAGTCGGTGGCAGCAGAGCCACGCGGCATGGTGAAGCGCTTGCTGCCCTCCAGCGACTGCCGCAGCGTCTGAGCCAGGCTGGCCGGCGTCATGTGCGCCAGCTTGCTGCAGGAATGGGGGTGATGATGATGATGGATGATGGAGCACAGGGGAATGGTTTGTTGTGGGGTCAGATGGGCATGGCAATAAGGCAGTAGGTGCAGATTGTGCTTGAAATCGACTAGAAGTTGAAACACAGCTGGAATGTATCATATGGGCCAGATTCCAGCAAGGGTGTGCGAGTGGGGAAAGAATGTGGCTGAGTGCATGGGGCGGTGGAGCAAGGGAGGGGTTAATCTGTGCATGCTAAAAGACCCACACATAAAGTGCTGTTGATACAGCACGCATACTCCAATCAATGGTGCAATGTGGCATGAGAGTAAAGCATCGCACGTACACTGGAGCAAGACAGGAGAGACAGACTCTGGCAGAAACGAACGCAAGCGGAGCTGTGCAAACAGAAGACAAGACACCGAAACCCAGAGAGCCATTGGGATGGGATAGAGCATGCATGGTGGGGGGGTGGTGGGAGAGAGGGAGTGTGGTGGCGTGGGCATGGCGTACCAGGCAGAGTCGAGCATTGAGATGATGCCCTTGTCCTGTGAGGAGAGGAGGGGCGGTTGGGAGGGGTGCAAGGACAGAAACGATGCATGGCATGGCTCATGGCACAAGACCACATGTAAGGCCACCCTCCGTGTGAGAGCGGTGTAAAAACAGAGATTTGAGCGAAGCGAAGCACTGGAAGTACCCAGCCGGAAGGATGCATATGCTGAACAGAATAGAGCAACAGCTGTTCGCCTAAGTGGAGCTACAAAGCACTCTTCGTCAAGGATGCGATGCACATCAGCCAGGTCTGGTTGCAAAAGATGCTTTCCGAACACATCAATCAAACGCTACTGGCATCACTCATGATGTTGGACTTGTCCCAGGCATGACCCATGACCCATGATCCATGGCCCATTACCCATGACCCATGACCCATGACCCATGACCCATCATAACAATGCACCCCTTCAATGGCGTCAAGCACGTCGCTGTTGTCGTCGAAGTCAATGAAGTCCCACTTGATGCCCTCACGCTCATACACCTGCTGCTCCTCCCTCAACACATGCTGGAGCGCAGATGCAAAGGGCACAAGGAGAGGGAAAAAGGGAGGGAAGAGCGTGACGGGCATTCAAGGCATTGCGGCTCCACATGATGCCCTCCCGCTCGTACACCTGCTGCTCCTCCCGCAACACATGCGGGAGGGGAGAAGCAGGAGGTTGGAGGTGGAGAGAACACGTGCAAAGAGATGAAGAACCATCCAAATGATATGCTTCCCTTTTCACCCAATCGTCATCCTCTTGATACCTGACAGAAGTGCTGCTGCAAACACGGTTCAAGCAATTCAAGTGTGACCCTCTTGGTACCTAGTTGATATTACTGTTGCTGCACATGCAGCACAAGTGCAATCCTGCTGGTACCTGGTTGAAGTGTTGCTGCAGCTTCTCATTGGCCAGATTGATGCACAGCTGCTCAAAGCTGCAGCATGGGGGAAGGGAATGGGATGGGAAGGTGGGAGGGGGTAGGGAGGAGGGTAGGGAGGGCGGAGCGTACAAGAAGGCATAAGGAGAGGGAGGAAGCAACAGCTGAATTTGTAACAGCAAGATTGCCTTATGGGTTACAGCTAAAAGGCAATCTTGCTGTTTGGTTCTTCGCATCTCGTTGCAACGGGGAGCCCCTCTGTCAGGTTCTCAACAAGCAACTCCTTAACATGATTCTGCCTACACAGCAGCCTCCTCAAAACACGGCAGCCACCTCATGAACTCAAAACACGGAGGCCATAGATGTCGTTTGAACTCACCTGTTTGTCTCAAAGTGTTCGAAGCCGTAGATGTCGAGCACGCCAATGCACCGGCCCTCCTCCACCCCGCCTGTCTGCTGTATCGACTCGTTGATGCGCTCTACCAACCTGCACAGGTGGGGGGTGGGGAGCAGCGGGGTAGAAGATATGGAGAGTCCGAGGAGAGCCACACTGAACCTTGCTCCCTGCCCTGCCTGCCACCTCTGCTGTATCGGCGCGTTGATGCGCTCCACTCCACCAGCCTGCACAGGCGGCGAGCAGACATCTGATAGGGGGGATCGTTGGGGATCTTTCAAAGGGCGACATGCAGCTTCCAAGCGGCCCTGCCCTCACTGCTGTATCGACTCCACCAGGCTGCAGAGGTGGGGGAAGGGGAGCACGGGGGGCAATAGCAGGGGGGACGGGAGGGGCACTGAAGCTTGCTGAGATGACTCACACAACGTGCACGCGTGAAGGAGCAAGGGGGAAGGGGAGGGACTTACCAGTCGAAGGCGCGTGAGTAGAGTGCCTTGGCGAGGGCGTCGCGGCGCAACGCAAGCAGGCAGTCGAGTGGAGGTGTTAAGCTGACTCTCACACAAGGCGCATACGAGAACGAGGAGGTGAGGGGGAGTCACACCCACCAGTCGAAGACGCGAGAGTAGAGCGCCTTGGCGAGGGCGTCGCGGCGCAAGCAGGCAGTGCGGTCGTCCGCTGGGCTGCGAATGACTTCCGGACCCACCCGCCTGGTCACCACTGTGATGCTCTCTCGCATCGCTTCCTTGTCCACTCTGAGCACCAGGTACAGGAAGGGGAGGGAGGGAAGGAGAACGGGATGCCGTGGCACACATGGGGGAGAAAGGGAAACCTTCCGCCCCACCCGCCTGGTCAGTAATGCACTCTCGCATCGCCTCCTTGTCCACTCTGAGGGGAGGGATAGGGGGTCGCAGGAGAAGAGGGGCGGGGTGGGGCAGCTTGGGTTGAAGTGGCAGGCCCACCCACTCACCGTTGACCACCATGAGCAACTAGATCACAATTTGCGTGTCAAGGCTGATTCAAACAGAAGGTACATGGGGGATGGAGCAACGGGGCAAATAAAGCAAACAAAGCAGCATGAGGAGGAATCCAATGCAGATCTGAGCACATCCAAGGCGGTCTGGCGGTCCACAACAGCACACATGAGCAGCCACGAACACACCCGAGGAGGCCACAAAAACGACACCTGAGCGGTTGAGAACACACCTGAGCAAGTCGGCAGCGGCACCCAGGTGCGCCTCTGCGTGAGGCACTTCCAATGCCAGATCCGAGTCCCTCTGCTCAAACGTGAAGTTGCCTATATGGAGGATGGCCGCCAGAATTTTCAGAATTGAGTCCTGATGGACGCGGCATTTTGAAAGGGTTGGGGCAGAGGGGCGAGGAAGGGAAGGAGAGAGGCGAGGCGGAGGGGGTGAGAAAGGGGTGAGCGGAGAGCACACAAGGTGCCTAAATAGGTGCACACAAGCAGGATAACCCCCCCTCTCCCCTCCCTTGCCCTCTTTATCTCTTACTGCTCTCACATCAAATCACACCCACCCACCCACCTGCTGCTGTGCAGTAATGCCAACGCATGGCTGCCGTAGCGGCACACAGATGCTCGCACATAAGCAAGAGGATAGCCCTCCCCACCCACTCTCTTTCTCTTTTATTGCCCTCACATCACACCCACCCACCTGCTGCTGTGCAGTGATGCCAACAGCACGCATGGCTGCCATGGTGGCGGCGAACTCGTCAGCATCAGAGGCACGGCCAGGCAGATGGAAGCAGGAGCTCTGGTTGAGGTAGTGGAAGTGGTGTGCTCGTGTGCTGGGGTCCGGGGGCAACTGTAAGGCTGCTGCTTCCTGTGTGGTGGGGTGGGATGAGGTTGGAGCAGGGGAGAAGGAGGGAGGCACGAGTAGACAGGCATATCCAAGCAGGAGCTCTGGTTGAGGCAGTGGAAGTGGTGGGCTCGTGTGCTGGGGTCTGGAGGCAGCTGCAGTGCTGCTGCTTCCTGTGTGATGGGGTGGCATGAGGTTGGAGCAGAGGAGAAGGAGGGAAGCATGAGTACGCAAGCAGCTCCAAGCAGGAGCTCACGTTCACTCCTCACTGGACACCCCCTTACACACGGCTTCACACGGCACACCTCATTTGAGAGCCCTTGGCACATCTGGTAGAAGATGTGGTAGTTGCGCTCGCAGTCTGCAATGTGCACCACTCGTGACCGCTCCAGCAGGTACGTGCGCACCGCTGCCCCCGTCAGCCCGCCCCCGCGCCCAAACTGCAGCTCTATAAACTTGCCAAAGCGGCTGTAGTGGTGGTTAGAGTAGAGGGCACACAACGGCAATGGTGTGGGGAGTTTTCAGCAAGATTCACCCCCGCTGAACCCATCAGCCCGCCCCCCTCCCCCCCAACTGCAGCTCTATGAACTTGCCAAGGTGACTGTGGTGGTGGATGAGTGAATGTACAAAGGGAGGTTTCATGACAAGAGCAAGACGGATGGGGGGTTCTACAGAGTACGAGGAGTGTGGGCAGTGGCGGTTATATGGGCACCTGGAGTTGTTGTTCCTGAGAGTCTTGGCATTTCCAAAGGCCTCCAGAAGTGGATTGGCCTGCACACATCAGCAAGAGGGAGCCACGATTAAATAATCACGAATCATGATGTAAACAAGAGAAGCGTCCAAAAGAGCAAAAGGATATGAGTGGTCTTTTTTACAGCGACCCGTATCTCCCTATAAAACACACCTCTAGGTTTTACTTATAACAGTAACGAAAAGGCTTGCCTGAAGAAGCAGGCAAATATACCTACCTGGAGAACGAGCGACTCTATGGACGGCGAGGCAGATGGCGAACCAGGCGGGTGGATGTGCAGGGAGGGGAGAGAGGAGGAGGAGGAAGTGGGTAGGACGGTGGTGGGGGAGGGCAGCGAGGCAGGGTCACTGTGAGCAGCAGCGCGGGCGAGGTACTCTATGATTAGCTTCGTGGTCTCTGTCTTGCCGGCCCCGCTCTCCCCGCTTATCAGAATGGCCTGGCTGCGACCCCCCTCCCTCATGGCCCTGCATGTGAACACATGTGGGGGGGATCGCAGTGGTGGGGGAGGGCAGCGGGGCGGGGTCACTGTGAGCAGCAGCGCGGGCGAGGTACTCTATGATTAGCTTGGTGGTCTCCGTCTTGCCGGCTCCACTCTCCCCACTTATCAGAATGGCCTGGCTGCGACCTCCCATGGTCCTGTGCGCATGTGCAGCGGGTTGCACACAGCATGGCATGGAAGGTGATGTTTGCTACATAATACATGCCATGGCACGGCACGTGATGGGTGTGTGTGTGTGTCAGGGGTAGCTTTTGACTGCTACCAGTGTTACTGCAAGGGATCGTGGTCATACTGGGAGGGAGAGCGTGGATGGGGATTCTGCGCATGCACACGCCAAGCGTACCGGAAGGCGTTCTCTGCAGTGGCGAAGACGTGTGGTGAGAGCAGGCCGAGGGGCACGCCGTGGTACTGGCGCATCATTGCTGCGTCGTACAGCCCGGGTATGCGCACAAACGGGTTCAGCGCTATCAAGATAGATCCTGTGTACGTCTGGAGGGGAATGGAGGGATGGAGGACGGGAGGAGCGAGGAAAAGTGAAAGCGAGGGAGTTGAAACAGGGAGGGGCTGGGAGATGGTGTGAGAGGGAAAGCAGGAATAACAGAGTGCTGAGCTGTGTCGAGACAGGGAACAGAACAAGAACTTCTAAAATTCTAGAACCACCAGGGGCTGAAAGAAGGAAAAACTGCACCTCTGGGCAAGGAGCTAAGGGGGAACAGTGGGTGGGTAGCAGGGCGCGAGTGAGAGGGAGGACGCACGTAGATGAGGTTGGCGCGGTAGCGGCGGCAGAGGTTGGAGAGCACACCAGGCTCGTGCAGGCACGTGAGGCGAACCATGTCGTCCAGCAGCGGGCCCTCGGGTTCTCGCATGCAGCACAGCGATGCGTGCACCTCCCATAGCTGTTGGAGGGGGGGGAGCAGGGGCTAGGGTGTGAGTACGAGCGGAGGGGAAGGGAGGAGAACATGCAACCGCCTGGGTCTAGCAGCGGGCCCTCTGGCTCGCGCATGCAGCACAGCGACGCGTGCACCTCCCATAGCTGCGGGGGGGGGGGGGGAAGAGGGGATGGGAATGAGTGTAAGAGCAGGGGATTGATGAATTTTTCTTGAATGTTGACGCGTGGGGCTCGCGCATGCAGCACAGCGACGCGTGCACCTCCCATAGCTGCCACCGGGGAGGGAGATCGGGGCGATGGGAGCGAGTATGAGGGGAGGGGTGGAGATTGTTATGAATGATAGCAACCGCCTGGGTCCGTCAGTGGGCTGTTGGACGAATACAGCTCAGCGACGCGTGCACCTCCCATAGCTTCCGTGCAGAGCGGGGAGGGGGGATGAGAATGAGGACGGCAGTGAGGCGTGAGCCGTATGTGATTGCCATTGGGGACGAATCTGCCGCGGATGATAGCACGGAGACGATGAGACGACGGGACGATGGTAATGGAAGCAGGTGATGGGAAAGAAGACGGTAGGGGGACTATCGGGAAAGAAGCGAAAGCACAGCTGCGCTGTGGGAACGAGATGGACGGACAAACGAGATCATTGCTCTAATTGCATGGCGTAGAGGTTCATAACGACGTTGCGACAGAGCCGAGGACGCGTCAGTCCACTGGGATCGTATCAAGAAGGATGAATGGATAATGTCAACCCAGAAACGGAATGACCTCTGCGAAACGCGTCCATATGACCAGTCAGAAATCCGGTCCACGCGCGACGCATCTCTGACGCCTACTAAAATCAGTAACTTCCGCGCAACAGTGCGAAACAGTCGCCTTACGTCCGGCTTGCCGGGGTTATCGATCTTCACGGCCAGTTTGCCTTCCCCCAGGTCCTCCACCACGCACCCCTCCTCCCACGCGAGCTCAGGGTCCGGCACCCACACGTGCGCACCCACGCGAAAGGTCTGCATCGCCTCGCCTGCCATTGCACGCGAGTGTGCAGACTATGGTTGCTATGATCGGGTCAAGTACTCCATCAGATTGCCAGTAGAAACTGCAGTGGTCTGTTAAAATGTAATTTGCTCGGCGTGTGTTTCGGTTTTACTGCTCGTCAGAGTGAAGCCGTGGAGCGAAGCTCGAGGCGAACCCAAGGTACTGCGTGGAATCCCCAAGAAAATGTTCCGCTGCAGATGAGAGCTCGTTAAGAGTAAGCTAATCCAGTTTCCTAAGTGGTCTGGCTTTACCAGTGTAAGGAAAAACCCTTTTTCTTACAGGGGTTTACTCAACCGCGTACAACCCCAACTTTCGGAAGTGCACGTTCGGCCACTTTGCTTGCTGCCGAAGCAACATCGCGTCGCCTTCAGCCTTTCCTTTGCCCAACCTGCACCCAACCTCGCGTTCCTGAGGTTCCCGCCTAGCTAGGTTGACCCACTACCGTATATTAGCGCGTTCCTTCATTGTATTGTCAGTTCATTGAGTCACATCTTCGCTATTCGTTATTCCGCGCACTCTCTTTTACAACTCATAACACCTAGTATCAGAGCTACTTTCCTAACCTCATTCAGGAGGTCCATGATTCTAACCTCTCCGGACATTTCGGGGTTCATAAAACCCAAAAGCTGTTGCACCGTCAATATTATTGGCCTGATTCTGCTAACGACGTGCAGCGATATGTGTCCTCATGCAGGGTGTGCCAAGCCATGAAATCGACACGTCAGCGGCCAGCTGGACTGCTGCAACCCCTCGAGCCACCCGAACGACCGTGGCAACAGGTGACGATGGACTTCGTCAAGGGGATGCCAGCTGGGCCGTCCGGCAACGACGATGTTCTCGTCGTCGTCGATCACCTCACGAAAATGGCGCACTTCGCACCGTGTCGTACAACAATCACAGCCGAAGAAACTGCGCGCCTCTTCATCTCGACCGTCGTGCGACTGCACGGAATCCCCGCAGCGATCATCAGCGACAGGGACCCGAAGTTCACATCGAAATTCTGGAAGGAGACGTGGGTGCCGTACGGCACGAAGCTACAGTTCTCATCGGCCTACCACCCGCAAACGGACGGCCAGACCGAGCGAACCAATCAGACGATGGAGCAGCTGATCAAGACAAACTGCCCCGACCCCGCTCGCTGGGAAAACTCGCTCGCCATACTGGAGTTCGCGTTCAACAATGCCCTGTCGAGCACGACTATTCACTCCCCGTTTTCCTTAAATTACGGGATGGACCCGACAGTGCCTACGACGATTACACTCGACAACCCGGTCTTGAGGTCACAAACATTTGTGACGGAACTTCAGGAAGTTCGCGAAAAGGCTGCGGACGCAATTCGCAAGGCGAATACCACTTCCCGTAAATACACCGACCTTTTACGATGGGAACTCGTCTTGGCAGCTGGGCAATTAGTGCTACTTGACACGAAGAACCTGCACCTGCCCAGCCCATCGAAACTCCGGCTACGATTTTGCGGGCCTTTCAAGATCATCAAGATGGTGACACATGTCACCGCGAAGCTGCTGCTACCCGACGATTGGCGTATACATGACGCCTTCCATGTCAGCCTCCTTCACAAGTTCGTGCCTGGCACGACGGACATTGCGCGCCAGAACGCCGCCCCGACAGCCCGACCTGTCCCAGAACCGACACTTGACCCATCCAAGATTATGGCGCATCGTGTTCGGCTCGACGCTTCTGGACGCCACGTGGATTTTTTAATCCGCTGGACTAACCACACCAGTGAAGACGACACTTGGGTGCCATCCGCCTCACTTGAAGCTTCTCCGCTTCTTGGTGATTACCTCGCCCGCAAGCGAGCTGCGGATATTGACCACCTTTCTGAAAGGGGGGGGGGGTAGTGTAAGGAAAAACCCTTTTCCTTATAGGGGTTTACTGAACCGCGTACAACCCCAACTTTTGGAAGTGCACGTTCGGCCACTTTGCTTGCTGCCGAAGCAGCCTCGCGTCGCCTTCGGCCTTTCCTTTGCCCATCCTGCACCCAACCTCACGTTCCCGAGGTTCCCGCCTAGCTAGGTTGACCCACTATATAAGCGCGTGCCTTCATTGTATTGTCAGTTCATTGAGTCACATCTTCGTTATTCGTTATTCCGCACACTCTCTTTTACAACTCATAACAACCAGACACGATTCAAATTGGGGGAGGTAACATATTTTAAAACAACTTATAAGATGTCCAATATAACTGTTTTTTGCATAGATTGGAAACTGTTGGAGATTTCCCGGCGAGAATACAATTTTTTTACTGGCAATTGCTGAAAGCACATATGTGATCACTTTAGGATAAAATTATTTCCCATCTTATTGCATTGGTGAATGTCTAAATAGTTTCATTTCCGTATGGTGGATCTGATATGAATTACATAGTATCCAGCAGATGTGACCTGAAAGCTAGGATGACATGATTGTATCGAGTTCTCTTCTGTGTTTTCCGCAGTGTCATTTTGGTGGTGGCGCGGTGTTGGGGGTCAATCTTTCTAGGAGACGCTTCAGTGCTAGTCTAGCTTATCCAGAACGAGGTTAGGCGAGAGTTACTATTTTCAACTTTCTGTTCGTTATTCCTCGACTTCGATCATGAAATGCAACGCCTGTTGGGCCGATATTGAAGGGCAAGCTATAGCGACGCATTGCGGACATGTCTTCTGTGAGATTAATTATATTTTTCTCCTCAATTTCTTCCTACAGCACAGGTGATTGACCTTTTTTACGGCAATTACCTGTCAGGCCTGGACGATGCAAAAAAAATCATATCAACGGACTCAACATGCCCGAGATGCGAGAAAATACTGTCGAAAGGGTCAGGCAATGCTATTCTGTCATGTTGTTAAGAGTGCGATGAACCGAAATAATCTCTTTTCTAATAAACCAGGAACATGAAGGCTATTACGACAAGCATTGACGACACTACCGCTACCGTAAACCTCTCGTCATTTCTTTGCTCAGCAGTAACCTTGTTTATGAATCTGAATGTCCGGCTATGTGTCTGCAGATGTTGCTCTCAGGGCTCCCTCCAGGGTCAAGTATGTCTCTCTGGCCAAAATTCTTCTAGTAAACGTCCACTTTCTAAACGAAAACCATGCGGTTGGCTGTCTTTCAGTTATGAAATGCGCCTTCAAGGGCATCAGCTTTTACGTTGGCCAGATGGAAGTTGAAAATCAAATGGCACTACAAGCAGCAGAACAGTCAAAGCAGATGCTGAAACAAATGCAAGAGAAGTACGAGGTGCATTTTGTGTAATTCCTTATCTGATTTCTGGACTAAGCCGCCATTGTATGTGTTGCAGGTTCATGGCAAAAATGGAACAAGTCCATGGGGCGCTACAAAAGTCTCTCAAGCAAAACCAGGTGTTACAAAAGGAGAAAGAGAACATGGCGAAGGATGTTTCGGAACTCCAGCAGAAGTATGCAGAGAAAGCACGGTAAGTTCAATAGATCTCACATCTCATGACCTTGCTTTTCTCTAGCAGCGGCAGACAAATGTTGTGGTTATGCAGCCAAAAACGAAAGCTAGAAGAGATGTACGAGTCGCTGAGGGGTGAGTATGAGTCCCTCAAGCAAGGAGCGCCGGGTACAATGTGCCCTTCTACTGCTCGAGTGCGAGCACAAGCTGCATATGTTCCTACACCTGACAGTATGGAACTTGGGAGAAAGCGACAAAACCAAGGTAAAACTTCATTCGTCTGCAAAAATACACTGAATAGAGAATGTTCTGACCACAGTTGTTTTGTTGTAGGTCCGTTTCACATTCCTGGCCTCCCTGCACCCACACATGGCCGTGGGGGTGAAAGTCCAGCATCAGGTGGGCGCCCTTTCAGCCGTCCTGAGCCTTCATTTGAAGGAAACGATGTACAAGGGTTTTTCTCTACCCCCTCGAACCAAGGGAACAAGGACAACGCTTTGCGGAATTTGCTTCTATCCCCGGCACTCCAAAGGCCCCCATCAAGAATGGGTGCACGATTTGGCCAAAGGTGATTCTCGGTTCAACACAGCTTTTGCCTGCTAAATTAATGGCCATGCCACATATTTATTTTGAGGCAAGACATGGATGCTCTTACTGGGAAATGGTAATTTGCACTTGGTTATGAACGTGGTTGTAACACTTGGCCCTCAAGTTTCAACATGTAAATTACCACCGCCTATCCAGAATGCTAGATGCTGGCTAACTGTTGCTCCATTGCTTCAACCTCTGAGCGCCAATCCGGAAGCTTTTTAAGCTTCTCCACTTGCTCAGAAGACAGATTTTCAGCAGATTCCAGTGCCTCTGCCTGGCGAATCTGATTACAACAGGACAATGGTGCAAGCGAGTGAAACACATTGAAGGTCTTATCAAGTGGAACCCATGGACGATAAGAACATAACACCACAACAAACTAAAGGTGCTCATGAGAGATGCCACATAAGCAGGCCTCAACGAGGCAACAACAGAAACACAAAAACCACGCAACAGCCATACCTTTTTCTTCAGTGCACGTATCTTCTTTTCGATCTCGGCTTTACCACAAACTGAACCATTCGATCCAGACTGAGTTGCTTCTGCTCTGCTATCTGCACCTCCTTCATGCTTATTTGCTCTGGATACAGTGAGGTCATCCATAGCCTCTGCAAGCTGGCTGTTAGCTTCCTGTTGGACTGAATTTCGCCTGTTGGAGATACCACCAGCCGAACTGACACCTCCTCCAACTCCCTGAGGGTTGAGGAGGGAACAAGGGTAAACGTGGCATGCCCTTGGGATGCGAAACATTGCCATTCGTTGTAAGCTATACTTCACAGGTTCAGCCAGCCCTTGCTTACTTCAAGCACAACGTCACCATCCTTGTCAACATTCCACTCACCTGAGCCTCCGCTCACCTGAGCCTTTTTCTTCTTCTTTGCTGCAGCTGCTTTCTTCTTTTGCATCTCCGCAGCCAGTTCAGGATCCATACCGGGAGGAAGCTCCGGGCCACCTCCCTTGGGCTGGAATACAGTCAACGATCACGCAACAGATTCCATGGGCAAAAAATCGGAATTATAGTGTACATGCGTAAACCAAGTGCTGACATGAGACCTACAACCTCTGCAAAACTTATACTTGAAACTTCAATTATTGAAGGCTTTCAGTAAGATCAAATGCAGGGTAATGCATTCACAGTAAACGAGACTTCAACAGAAGACGACTGCATACTGACATACAAACGCCCCCGGCGGTCCGCCCCAACAAAATCCCCTAGGTGTAAGACGATGCGACCTACACGTGATCCGCGGGCCACGTAGGTCGCCACCTCCTCCTGCGCAACGTATCCCGCGCGCACACGAATCTCCTTCCGCAGCGTTCCGTCCGGTCGCCGTGACGCGGGTATAACGCGCTCATCCGGCGGAGGAATGCTTCCCGGTGGGGCTAGCCTCCGACCTTCGTCCATGAAGCCGGCTGGTCTGTGCTACGAAACTGTAAGACGAATCACACGACAAGCCCCGAGGCGCCGCTGAGCTCTAATCCTTCGAGAAACCAGAAATCGATTTCTGACAGTGCGTGAGTTCGTGAGAGCGACTGGTCTCCGTGAAATCAACGAGAGTTGGTGGCGCAAGTCTGGAAGCTGGCGGGGAGTTAGGAGGACTGGCTAGAAATACGTCCAAGGGACTACTATGGCTAGTGGAACCGGTATACAAGTCGGTTTATGGGAATTCCAACCGAACAAAACACATCAGTGGAACATATCGCCGACCTACCTGGCTAGCATGCTTGGCGCTTGTGATTCGTACAGTACTCGCTCTAGGAACCTGCTTGCCGCTTGGCCCATTTGCTGAATGGTCAGATCAGGTTCAGTTTTGCTCGCAAGGGCAAACAGGTGGTTACGTTTTTCGCCACTTACTCGCCAACGATCAGCACAACTGCTGGGCGAAATGGCAAGACTGAAGCGGATGTACGCGTTGAATGCAAATAGGATCCAATCCCAGATCAACTACCAAGCTGTACAAATATTTATACCCTGAAAATATAACCAAATGACACTTTTCCGTATCAAAAAAAAAAAAAACCAAATGACAGGTAAGAAAGCACTGCTTGAAGATCAATTGGGTAGTCACGTTGACCCTTGACACAACCGCATTTCTGTGCTTTTGCTCTTTTCTCATCAATCCCTCCTTGCCACTGACCCGGCCGCTTCATCTCCTCGGCCTCCCTCCCTCCCTGCCCCTGATTCTACTCTACCACCTGTTTCTGAACTTTCACCTGCCCATGGAATCCCGCCAGGTCCACAAGCCTCACCGCGACCAACACTCTCGCCTGCCCTATCAGCAGAGAGCACCTGAGATTCCAGGTAAGTCAGCTGTCGCTCCAGTGAAGTCAGTTTGCTGTTCAGAGCTGCTAGCCGGCCCTTGGCACTCGCCTCTGGTACAGGCGGGATCCCAAGTAGAGCAGGCCAGGAGGCACAGGGGAGAAGGGCAGTGACAGGGGGAGGAAGGCAAGGGAAGGGGGAAGAAGATGCAGTGGTAAAGGGGTCTAAACACCAGCACAGAGCAGATGAGCCTCCATCCTCCTGGAATGCCGGCACTCTTCATATCTGCCAGCTGTCGCTCCATGTCGCCCACGAGGTTGCCGGCCAGCCCTTGACACTCGCCTTTGATCGGATGGATATGCGCTATGAAGAAGGCAAGAAATAGGGTAGGAACAGGTGGAAGGGAGTTGAGAGTGGTGCAGGTGCTCTCCTGCAGAAGAGAACATCACAACGTAACAGGTCTTATTTTTGTTCGACTAGCTAGTTCAAGGCAGGTGAGAGGGCTACCGAGCCTATGTCCCGAAGGTTCTACAGCAGCCGCAACCGACGTGAGCAAGCTCTGATTGGTAGCCGAACCGAAGACAATCATGACACGCATTTTCCTCCCAGCCCCAGATTGTAAGACAAGGGGGCGATGAGACTGGGGGGCACTTGGAATGCACTCACGACAGTACACGGATAACGCAACCATTCAGTGGACTTGTAAAGAACAGACTCGACGGTTTCTCATGTCTGTGGCGAGCCATGGAACAGACCCGAGCAAGCAGGAAGGTCGCTGTGGTCTACTTCACGCGATTAAATAGGACGAAACTGAAGGGACGACTCGAACCGAAGTCGATGACGAGCTCTAGAACGGATGCATGGATGCAGAGCGATGCTTTCAGAACTCGAGAAAAACGCGCACAAGTAGATGATGCGACAAGAGCAGGGGATGAAACGCACCGAAGTCGTTGACGAAGGTGTAGATGCGATGGATGTTGAGTCGCAGCGACTCCACGAACTCGCGGTTGTCCCAGTCCGCCTGCACCGCCTGCCCGACCTTCTTCGCGCTCATCGCGAAACCGGGCGAAAAAGAGCGAAATTTGGGCGAAAACAGCTCTCAGGTTGAGCCGTCGCACGACATGGATTAGGCTGATTTCTTCACTATTGCGACGCGAATAGAGGGTTTCTTTACGGCATTGTAACACCGAGCCCTCAAAAGGACGGCGACTCAGGACGCATCACAACACGGTGTAGGAGGCATCGACCACTGCGAGCCTGATTGACCGGCGACAATCTTTAGTTAGGCTAATCCCAGGTTTAGGCAGCGACGGTTAGGCGGCTGCTCGTTCCAAGCCCCTCTAACTGGAAGGTGTTGACAACCTCGCGAGCCTACGAGAACGAAAGAGCAAGTTGCTCCGTGTCGGTCGCAGTTCTCCTAGGACCGTGGGACATCCTAACAAGGCTTGTTCAAGCAGGAGGAATAATCCTAGAATTGTTGGGAGGAAGGTGTGCTGAATTCAGCCGAGGCGAATGCTGGCGAGGCGTGTGCGCGAAACTGGACGACGAGTGAACTCTTGGTGATACAGGGTCTTGACGAAAGTCCGTTTTCGCAAAAACAAAAGTTTCGCAATAACTTTTTGTGAACGGATACATTGCACATGATTTACCCAGCATTTGAGAAGATTTACACCTAGTTGTGGCTTGTGGTAAATTCAGGTAACTCACAGGCGAGGACCTATCCTTCCCCATAAACACCTGCTTGGGTGATCATTTGCGAATTCCTCGCAACTGCAATCAGCGTCAGTCAGTGTCGCTCACATCGCCGCAAACTCATCGCTCTCGTCGCACAGGGAATGTATCCGGCGGGCCGAGTCGCCGTCGCTTCCCTGCGCACTCTTCCCACAGCCGCTGGGCACATCGTCTCACGCGCCCGAGCCTCGTTAGTGTCGAACGGCAGCGGCGCACATCGTGGCGCCGTCGTAGGCTTGTCCGGCACCCGCCAAGTCTGTTCAGGGCATCCCAATTCAAGCCAGAGGAACCCACCCCACGCCGCGCACCGCGCTCCGTGCCTCTCCTCCCTGCCCGTCACCGCGCATCCCTATCTCCTCTCGCGGCCGCTCTCCGCGCATCGCATGGACGCGCCACGGCCCTCCGCGGCAGCAGCAACGGCAGCGGAGGGCGTTGGGAGGGAGAAGATGACGGATGGCGCCGTGTCAGATGCTGCCATCGCGATGACTTCAGGTAAAGGATCGGGGAAAGTGATGTGGGCAGCGACAGGGGCGGTGAATAGAAGTGGAGACGCGAGAAGAGAACTGATGGCGCCGTGTCAGATGCTGCCATCGCGATGACTTCAGGTCAGGTTGCCGGGGGGGGGGGGGGGGGGGGGGCGGGGAGAGGGCGGAGGGGGGAGAAAGAGGGGGTGTGTAATGGCAGAGCAACATTCAGCAGTTCCCCGGGGGGGGAGGGGGGGGGGTGGGTTGGGGGGCATCCCTCCCTCCCTCTTTCCCTTCCTCCCTGCCTTTCTTTCTCCCAGTTCCGCCCACCCAGAACTTTCCTGCTTTTTTTCTCAACCCTCTCACTGCTCACCACTCTCACCTCACCATCTCGCCACCTCCACACCCCACAGACGATGCGCCTGGTGTCCTTTCAGCAGTGCAGTGCCAAGCCCACGGTGGGGGTGGGTTTGGAAGTTTACTCTTGTCACCCTCTCACCCCAACCCACTGACCCTCACCCTCTCACCCCAACCCAGTGCCCCTCCTTCTTTCCCTCTCACTCTCTCACCCGTCCTCTCGTCCATCTCACCCCCACCCCACAGACGGCCGCATTCGCCTGGCGTCCTTCCAGCAGCGCGATGGCGAGGCCACAGTGGGGGTGGTGCGAGATGCGCGCATCTGGCCGCTGCATGAGTGCGTGCAGCAGCCCTCCTCTCTGCCCGCCTCCGTCGACCTGCACTGCATGGCGTCCGTCATTGCCGCCTGGCCGGACATCCGTGCCCGGTGAGAAGGGTGGGGCGAGAGGAGAGTGGGGGTGACCCTTCCTCTCTGCCTGCCTATTGGATCTTCACTCATAGCGGAAGAGCTGCAATTCTGAAGATTGGAAAACGCTTAAAGCAGCAATAGGATCGAAACTAAAAAATCTTCCTGGAAAATTGCTCAGTAGAACTCGTAAAACCCTTTCACTAAAGCAGTGACAAGGGTGGGGCGAGAGGAGAGTGGGGGTGAGCCTTCCTCTCTGCCTGCCTATTCTCACTGCATGGCGTCGGCCATTGCCAGCTGGCAGGACATCCGTGCCCGGTGAGTGCGGTGGGGTGAGGTGAGGAGTGCGATGAGAAGGGTGGGGTGGGGGGAGTGGGGTGAGACGGTTGGGTTGAGATGAGAGGAGTGAGGAGTGTTTTGAGTTTGGTCCACTTTGCTTTTGAGGCGCCTCCAAAAACGAGCTTAGAGAGTGGAGATTGGTGCAATTTTTTTATTAAGATTGTCACATACTCATGGCATTCAAGCCATTTTGCTTTCAACGCCTCTTTGCCCTGTGGTCCCCACATGCCTCTCTGAACCCTTGTCGGGCAGGCTAAACTTTGAGAAGCTGCCCGAGGGGCAGGGGCAGCTGCTGTGCGAGAGCCATCTGCTGGCACCTCTCCCCCGCCCTGCAGGGGCCATCATGTGCATTGGGAAGAACTACGAGGAGCATGTGAAGGAGGTGGACACGTGGAAGACTGCTCCCCATATCACCCAACCCAGCATCCCCACTGTGAGTGTAGCCGCTGTACTAGCACCAGCAGCTGCTGGAGCAGCGCCAGGAGCATTAGCAGCACTAGCAGCAGCATCACTGGGAGCAGCAGCAACACCATCGCAATCATGTGCATTGGGAAGAATTACGAGGAGCATGTGAAGGAGGTGGACACGTGGAAGACCGCTTCCCATATCACCCAACCCAGCATCCCCACTGTGATTCCAGCCGCTGCAGTAGCAGCTTTCGGAGCATAGCAGCAGCCGCAGTAGCAGAAGCAGCACTAGGAGCACTAGCAGCAGCAGCAGCAGTAGGAGCAGCAGCAACATACTTGCCATCATGTGCATTGGGACGAAGTACGAAGAGCATGTGAAGGAAGAGGACTGCTCCTCGGATCTCCCACCCCAGCATCCCCACTGTGTGAGTCTAGCCCCTTTACTAGCAGCAGTAGCAGCAGGGAAGCATCTGCAACAGCGCTAGGAGCAGCAGCAGCAGCATGACCGCATTCACCTCCTTTTCCCCCTCCTCTCTCATCCCTTTCTCTCCCACCTCCTCCCACTCGCCCCTCCTTCCGTCCAGCACCCCATCGTGTTCACCAAGGCACCCCAGTCCGTGACAGGGCCCGGCACGGCCATCCGCATTCCACACGGCCACTCCGAGTCGGTGGACTACGAGGCAGGTGGGTGCTGCTGCGAGGGAAGGTGGGTGTCGTGAGGTAGCTTGGGTTGGGTGGTTTGTAAGTGGACTCAGAAGGCATGGCGATCTGCATTCCACACGGCCACTCCGAGTCGGTGGACTACGAGGCAGGTGGGTGCTGCTGCGAGGGAAGGTGGGTGTCGTGAGGTAGCTTGGGTTGGGTGGTTTGTAAGTGGACTCAGAAGGCATGGCGATCTGCATTCCACACGGCCACTCCGAGTCGGTGGACTACGAGGCAGGTGGGTGCTGCTGCGAGGGAAGGTGGGTGTCGTGAGGTAGCTTGGGTTGGGTGGTTTGTAAGTGGACTCAGAAGGCATGGCGATCTGCATTCCACACGGCCACTCCGAGTCGGTGGACTACGAGGCAGGTGGGTGCTGCGTTGTGGGGCAGGTGGGTGCTGCGTTGTGGGGCAGGTGGGTGTTGCGTTGTGGGGCAGGTGGGTGTTGCGTTGTGGGGCAGGTGGGTGTTGCGTTGTGGGGCAGGTGGGTGTTGCGTTGTGGGGCAGGTGGGTGTTGCGTTGTGGGGCAGGTGGGCGTTGCGTTGTGGGGCAGGTGGGTGTTGCGTTGTGGGGCAGGTGGGCGTTGCGTTGTGGGGCAGGTGGGCGTTGCAACTTGTGGGTAGGTTGTGAGTTGACGCGGAAGTCACACCCACCCTTTCTCTGCATGGACTCTCCTAATTCTCTGCCTACTAGGCAGGCAGGTGCGCAATTCCAAAGCCGCTGCCTACTGGTCAGTGGCTTGGGTTGGGACCAAGGTTGCTTCTCATGAGTTATTAACACCCAAAACTGGATCGCACATCACTACATAAGAAAAAGTGGTTGTTGTGATGAATTATCATTTTACCCAATGTTATGCACGCTTCTCCCTTCCAATCCTCTACCCCCCACCCCACGCCACCTGTCGGTGCCACCATTTGTCAACATCCATTCCCCCAATGAAAGGCGCAGCCTTAAGAAAGCATACTTCATGTTTGCTCAAGCCATCGTACCCCCATTGCTCATTCCCATCGCCCATTCTCATCGCCCATCCCCATCGCCCGTCCCCATCCTTATTCCACATGCACAGAGCTGGCAGTGATCATTGGGAAACCCGGTCGAGGCATCAAGGCAGACGCCGCCATGGACCATGTCTTTGGGTATGGCTCGCTTGCTCTTGTCTGTGTCACTCTCACGATTTCTCAACAATGACACGCATAGAAGATGCCATGGACCATGTCTTTGGGTATGACTTGCTTGCTTGTGTCGGCGCACTTGCTTTTGAAAATTCCCACAAGTGACACAAGCAGAAGACGCCATGCGACGTGTCTTCAGGTATGACCTTTGAGGCGCCTCAAATAATCTCAGGGGATCTTTTAAGGCACCTATAAAACTGAGACGATGTTCAGTTTGAGAAGCCTAAAAGTCATTTTTTTGAAACCCATTTGAGGTATTAAGACGTAAGATGCCATGGGCCATGTCGTTGGGTATGACTTGATTTCTCTTGTAGCATCTGTTTTTCGGAACTCTCAGAGGTGATAAAAGCACAAGGTGGCATGATGATCCATGTCTTTGGTTAAGACTCGCCTGTTCTTGTCACTCTTGTTGCAAATGGTTTGTGTTTTGTTACCCCCCTGCTCGTTTCCCGCTCTACTCTTCTTTCGCACCCAGCTACACCATTTTGAATGATGTGACGGCAAGAGATGTGCAGAAGCGGCACCAGCAGGTTTGCCCACTCCCTCCCACTCTCTCTTCTACTCACTCTCCCACTCCCTCTCCCACTCTCTATCCCACTCTCTCTCCTTCTCTCCCTCCCACTTTGCTCTTTCGTTCTCTATCTCACTCCAGTTCTCACTCTCGCCCTCCCCACTTGCATTCTCCAGCTGCCTCTTTCCTTCTCCCTGAATGCTGACTCTGATTGAGGTCCCTTTACAAGCTCCAGCACGCTGCCACTCCGCCATTTCTTTTCTGCCATGCCACTTAATGCCACCCCATGCTGCATCTCATCCCATGCCATGCCCCTGTACCACATTCCCTCCTTCCTTGCCCGCTGCAGTGGTTCCTCGGCAAGAGCTGCGACACCTTCTGCCCCATGGGCCCTTGGATCGTGCCAGCATCGGAGATCAATGGCCAGGATCTCCACATTCGCTGCTGGATCAATGATGAGCTCCGGCAGGTATTGAACCCCGACCTTCCAAAACGCATAGGCCATGTGGGCCCCCTCACCCCCGCCGCCCAACCTCATCCCGTCATGCAGAACATGCACACAGATTGCAGCTAATTCTCCCCATCCCTGCACTCATCACCGCCACCGCGTGCTGCTTTTCCTCTACCCCTATCCCACCATTTATGCTCCTTTCCATCCTCCCTTCCTCCAACTTCCTCCGTCCCTCCTTCCCACCCCGCCCAACCCTATCCCACCACACAGAATGCGCGCACCACACAGCTTATCTTCCCCATCCCCACACTCATCGCCACCATTTCTGCCGCCATCACTCTGCAACCTGGAGACATCATTGCCACCGGCACCCCTGCTGGTGAGCTGTGAGCACTCCAGGTGAGCTGTGAGCACTCCAGGTGAGCTGTGAGCACTCCAGGTGAGCTGTGAGCACTCCAGGTGAGCTGTGAGCACTCCAGGTGAGCTCTCACATCCCCATCCCTACCCTCATCGCCACTATCTCTGCCGGCATCGCTCTTCAACTCGGAGACATCATTGCCACCGGCACCCCTGCAGGCAAGCTCACTCACCCCTATGCGCATGGAAACTAGGTCCAATTAAGACGATGGAAAAAAGCTTGGCTCGTCCGCGTTTCTCCGCAGTGCTCCTCGCACCACTGCAAGTGAGCAAGCACACATCTGACACTGCAGTTTGTGTTTACCTGCGCTGCAATGCCTGCTTAGCACCTCTTTGGTGTACTCATTTCTTTAAACCTAGGGTACCCCTCTTTAGACTCATGCATGCACGCCCATCCATGCATGCTTGCCTGCTTAAACCCCTCCTTTCTTACAGTCTACCGTATCGACATACCTGTGACCACATGCATTTTTTCCAAGTAATTCTCCCACAATGAGTGGGCGTGGGATAGAGTGGAGAGAACCACATGGGTAGAGAGTGGAAGTACCCACCATATGTTTGTGTTATGAATCCCTTTGCATTCCCCCACTGTAACACTGTTCCACAGGCGTGGGATCAGGCTTTGACCCACCAAGGCATCTCAAGCCAGGGGATTCAGTGCGCATTCAGATCGAGAATGTCGGGGAACTGACCAACCGCGTGGAGTGACCTCCCCACCAGACTGTTGACCAATCAGCTGCGGTGCGGATTCTCCGGAATGTACAGTAGCTACCGTATGTGCTTGCATGGTGTGTAGCTGGCTAGAAACGCTGGGAGGTTGTGAATACGCTAGGAGTCAGCCTAGAGCTAGTGAAACCCTGCGAAGCTTTTTGCGAAGATGTGAAGTGGTGGTGAGTCGTGACAGAGGCAGCATGTCACAAGAGGCATGTGCCAGAGCCAACACCAAACCACCAACCACACACATGGATGCCTCATACACATGCTCTCCTGCAGTGAAGGACTCAGGAGGCAGGAGCAGAGACCAGGCTGCAGGAACAGTGGTCGGAAACGCTTGAGCAACAAATGCTTTACATATATAAGCCTGTCACAATGGCTATCTGTGATGCTATTGCTATACACATTAGTTGGTCACAATGGCAAGTGATGTTAAAGCAGCATTAGGACCTGCTTCCTCTTAACTCCTCTCTACCAACGTCTTCTGTCTCGTCTCGTTTGTCTCCATGCTTTTCTGAAAGCCCTCGCTCCTCTGCTTCGACTACTTGATAACCGTTAGCATATTTCTCCTGCTGCCGCATCTGAATCGCCTTCACATGCCCAATCTGGCCCTCTCCGCTGCCTCCACCCTCTACACTTCCCTCAACCTCTCTACCTTCTGTAAACCCTCCAGAACTGGCTGCACCGTTCTTAACTCCGGCGTTGTCCCCTCCCCGTCCCTTCCTGTTCGCGAGTCGCTTCGCCTTGAGCTGCTCTCTGCACTCCGCGAGCGCCTCTCCCCGAAGGCCCTGGCAGCTGAGGCCCTCCTGGTCCATGGAGATGGCGAAATACAGGTACACCGCGCACAGCACGACGAGTATCGCCATTGTTCGCAGCAGGTACTGGTGCCGCGCGAGCAACGCTCGCACGGACATGTCGGGTTGTCCCCCCCCCAGACTGCCGTGTCTCGCGGCGCGCGACGTGAACGGCGAAGGAGACGCATTGATGCGATCGGATGGAGGGTTCGGATTTAAAGAGGATAATTTAGCGGGCGAAGAATCAGGGATGGTTTGTGCGAGAGAAAACGCGGTTGGTTTGTTGCGATCGGGGCTTAGCGGAGTGTGGCGTCTGTAAATCTCTCCGCCGGGGGATGCTGCTGATATAGACGAAGCGAGCGATGGTCGGGTCTCATCCTGGTCTAGTCGTACGGGACTCCCATCCAATACTTGCTGGCCGCTGCTATTGCTACCACTGCTGCCGCCACGTAACAACGAGCTAGCTGTCGACATGGAGAAGGTGCTACGGTATTCAGAGAAAGACGAGGATGTCTACAAAATGGATCATATGTAAACTGGTTGACACAACGGGCTAGAAGCAGTAGCCGTACACATGGGCGGTGTTCGCCAGCACCTTTGAGATTGGAAGAAAATGGAAGGCATTGGACTGGCAACGGCATCAGGAAGCGGGGCCGGAACCCTCCGAAAAGGTTTGGGCGAAATGCCACCCGCGAACTTTCCAGCCCCGATATGAGAAACTTCACAACCGCAAATGGAACCCCACACCCCACCTTCCCCCCAAATGGGACGAAAATTTGGCGCCACTGACCTGTGCCTGACCGGGCGCCAAACTCTACTGTACCAGGGTAAAAAACGTGAAAAAAAAACCCCATCTCCAGAACAAACCCCATCTCTCCTCGTATACAAACACAGTCACAAATCTGGAGGATCCATCCAGTTTAGGTTTACGAAATTGGGTGTAAACGAGGGCCTATTCGTGACTCCGGTGGCTGTGGTAGTGGTTACCCTCCGACAGCCAATTACATCGCCAACCCACGGCGGTCCACGTGAAATGGTGGATTGCCACGGGATCGCATGAGACGGGACGTTTGCCTGGGGAGGAAGTCACATCCCCATTTCCGAATGCCATGTTTCCTTCCGAAATTTGAGAAAAATGAGGGCGTTCGCCAGGCACCGCATATTGCTTTAGGATCGGACGACATCCTAGCTTCGGCACGAATTTTACGGGCTGACCAGGCTGACGGAGCTTAACGAACCCTAACTGACGGGATCAGGAAGGCGTGACTGACCTTCCTGATCCCGTCGTTTTCGTTTTCAAAAGTGCTGGCGAACACCGCCATGGTGATAAGAACACTCAACAGCGACAGTAACGGCAGGTGGATGGAGAAGGACAGGACAGGGCAGCGCGAAGTGCGGAATGCTGGGTTGGGTGGAGAGGGGTGGTTGTTGGACTGGCCGCGAGAAAACAGGACAGGACAGTGTGGCAACGGTCGACGTGAAGTCAAGAAGTCAGTATACATCTTGTTACACGATATTGAATAAAACTTCATTAGGTAAGGAAAAAAATTATTTATTTAACAAAATTAATTGTGAAATCACCTTAAACATACCTTGCTTAGTGGCAAACTCTGGACTCCAACCTAGTATTTCTCACGACTAAGTCAGTTAGTACGAAACGTGGTGTCCCCCAATAATTTTCTGCCTACCACCAATTCCATCTTAGTATCAAAAACCCTTTCTTGGGCATTAGGCAACCAATGGATTCCGTTGCTCCTGTCTGGATCCTGCACACGCATCCCCAATTCACAAAGCATACTCTAGTGGTGTCCTAACGTACTTCTGCTGTTCCATGCAATGTGCACAATTTGCTTGGTCATCCTGCTGCATCTACGTCGTCTCCTGACAATGTCCTTCAAATGACAGGTAGGCGACTCAAGTTTTTTGCGTTTGGAGCATTGGCATGCGAGGCGTTCCACTGACGCGCATCTGCAGCGGCTTTGAGCTCTGCTGCCTTTGCACGAAGAGCTTCAAGCATCTCCCGAATTTCAGCTTCATCATCCTCGAGGCTCACATTCCGCATCGAGTGCAAGTTCCTCGTCAGCGTACCTTGTAATCTCCTGCCTTTGCTTGTGACGTTTGAAGATGGTGGAGGTTCAAGCTCACCTGCACGAAACACCAAGTTGAGAGGGTCCGCTGATCGCGCTAAAGCCACTACTTAAGATTACCAGTTTGAAAGTCTTCCTCTTCAGAGTTCTCCATATGCGTTCCCGAGACAAGCGCATGGGGGAGGGTGTTTGTTAGAAGGTAAGACGCGTAGTGCGAGTAGTATTTTGCACTCTCACGAATTTGCACCTCCGTAATAATAAGGGACGATTCCAAGAGCATCATAGCCGCACTGCAGACAATGACGAGAAGTATCAGAATAAAAGAGCTTCGGAAACGGACTCGGATCATGGTGAAGGGAATGTGGATGGTTATGAAACTCGATGCAAGCGAAAGCTACGGAACGCCTACAGATGGTTTCTGACACAATTTAGTGCTAGTGAAGAGAAAGTCTCCAATGTACTGCATGCGTGTTCCAGTTTTGAGGTTGCCCCCGAGGGTTCAGAAACCGACTGGTCTCAACGCAAGCCGACGGGTTCACGAAACATTGGAATGCACTAGCTGGTTCGTCCCATGTCGAACCAGATGGTTCACGTAACACTTTGCAATCGTGAGTGGTTCGCTTTGGCTGATATTTTTTGGGGTACGCAAGAGGTCTGACCCACCAGTTTCTCAACTGGGTGGCATTTTGTTCGCAATGTACAGCGATTGGCGAAACCGCTGGCAATCGTCGACCCTAGAGGAATTGATTCGAAATAGTGTAACCCCTTAAATCGTACGCGTTGCGAACAACGACCAACTTCACACTGGGCCGAGACTGAAACCATCAACAACCTCATGTAGCATAGCAACTGCTACTATCACTAGTAAGCTATACCGCTGACCAATTGGCGCGAGTTTGGCGAAGCATGCCGCAGCCACGTGTCCCGCTAGTGGAATCATCTCGCTTCAGGCTCGTGCCGCCGTTCGTGGTCGGCATTGCGGTCGGAGCGTGCATGATTCTGCTCCAGCAGTCGCTTTCTTCCCGTCTAGCCGGCACAACTGCCGGCGACTGGCAGAATGACCACCCACAGCCGACATACCGCCGCTATCCCTCATTATCTTCCGGTAAAAACGGTGAGGATCTCGCCGGGCAAGATGGCGGCGGTGATGAGGCTCACGGCTCACCCTCCGCATCAGACGCCGCAAATGACGGCGTGAGTACCGGAGAGAGCAGCAGCGCGTACAACACGAGCTCGGGGATCGTGGCGGGGAAATTGAACGTGCATCTGGTGCCGCACTCGCACGACGACTTGGGATGGCTCAACACGGTTGAACAGTACTATGTGAGAATAACAGCACCAGGACTCACCACTACTGACCAGCATAATCTCTTTCTTCGTTCAACTCCTTCTGGATCTCTCTCCTTCCTCGTACTCCAAATTCCGGGAGCGATCCCCCTTTCCACCTCTCTGCCTCCACCTCCTCCTATCCCCCTTCCCCTCCCCTCTCTCCTTCTCCTCCTATCCTCATTCTCCTCAAGCCTCAGCTCTAACGCGTCCATCACAGTTACCGCATTCACATTCACACGGTCCATGCTCCCTGTGCCACCAGAAGCGCAACACCACACCTTCATTACTCCTTCTTCTCCCCCCCCTCCCCACACCTCTCCCCTCTTCCCCACCCCTGGCATCAGATCACGGCCGTCCAGTTCATCCTAGAGACGGTGGTGGACCAGCTGGAGGCGAATCCGGACCGTCGATTCATTCAAGTGGAGCAGGTGACGTGGCAGAATGCGGCTGTAGCAGCCAGTCCTCTCCATCTGGCAGAGTGCCTGCTTGTGAATCAAGCATGCGAGAGCAGAGGGGGCATGTATGTGCGAATCTAAGCAAGCTTGTTTCTTTCTTTCACAGCTTGCTTCTTGTTACACGGTTTTTGTAGCACTTGTAGAGCAGACCTGAACCGGTGACTCATTTGAGAACTCTCTCTTGTACTTTAGATGAACTCGTATTTTGCTGTGTAGTTTGTAGCAGCACACCCATGAAGCTTGCACCTTCTATGATAATGTGTCTCATTACCCATATCATTGTGCGATCCCATGCTTCTGCCCACTACCACAACACTGCACGTCCCATTGTGCCCACCATTCACGGCTGGCGGGCGGCAGGGTTTCTTCTACCGCTGGTGGCAGCAGCAGTCGGAGGGCATGAGGCAGCGCGTGCGTGCTCTCGTGCACTCGGGGCAGCTGGAGTTCATGTGAGTCAGTCAGCTCTTTCCCTTTCAAAGATACTGCAATGATGCTATCCTGCTCTCCTTTTTTATCCTTCTTTGCCTTCCCTGTCCCCCTGCTGCTGCCCCCTGCTGCTCCCTGTTTGCTGCCTCATTGCATGCAGCAACGGCGGGTGGGTGATGCATGGCGAGGCGTCGTGCCAATACAGGGACGTGTTGCATCACATGTCACTGAGGTTACCGTCGCATGGCCTCCCCATGCCTCCCTCTCCATGTGTGCATGCAGCAACGGCGGGTGGGTGATGCACGATGAAGCGGTGTGCCACTACAGGGACGTGCTGCATCACATGTCGCTGGGCCACCGCTTCCTCCAAAGCCACTTCAACGCCACACCACGCATCGCCTGGCAGATCGACCCCTTCGGCCACTCCGCCACCCAAGCCAGCCTCATCACAGCCCAGGTGCGCCCCTGTGAATGTGGATATGGTGCGGGTGGGGCTGGTGCCCTGCAGAATGCATGTGGTGGCTCTTCAACGGCCCCCCCTCCATCGCCTGGCAGATGGACAGCCTTTGGCCACTCCACCAGTGAAGCTAGTCTCATCACGGCCCGGCCCAGGTGCGGAGAGATGAAGGGAGGGAAGGCGTGGCACTGCCTGGTGCGTGTGGTGGTGCTGTGCCGTGCATGTGTGTGGCGAGTTGAAACAAGGCCAATGAAAGCAAGAGAGCGAGGAGTACCTTCAGTGAGATCGATGCGCCTCAAGGCGTGATGCAGAGCGGGCTGGATGCAGCTCGCCCAGCGTCATGGCTGACAGGGCGGGCTCGATGCAGTATTCTTTGTGTGTGGGGTGCGGTGCGGTGCGGACTACTATCAACAATCCAGCATACCGCCCTGCCTTTTGACGTGTACTCTCCACTGTGATGGTCCCGCTTGCTTTCTGCCAGTGCAGGGCACACTGGACGGGTCCTTCACACCAGCAGACTATGTTCAACTATTTTCAACCTGTCATGCCCCCCTGCCTTGTGGTTGTGTCACGTAAACCCTGTTGTCATGGCCCCTCTTTCTGCCAGTACAGGGCGGGCTAGACGCGGTGTTCTTTGCGCGGGCGGACTATGAGGACATAGCTCGGCGTAAGAGGGAGCGGAGCACCGAGTTTGTGTGGCGCGCCTCCCAGACGTTTGGCCGGCAGGCTGAGGTGAGAGTGAGATCATGAGTGAGTGAGTGCGTGAGTGAGTGCGTGAGTGAGTGCGTGAGTGAGTGCGTGAGTGAGTGCGTGAGTGAGTGCGTGAGTGAGTGCGTGAGTGAGTGCGTGAGTCCCTGAGTGCGCGAGTGAGTGAGTGCGTGAGTGAGTGCGTGAGTGCGTGAGTGAGTGAGTGCGTGAGTGAGTGCGTGAGTGCGTGATTGAGTGAGTGCGTGAGTGAGTGCGTGAGTGCGTGATTGAGTGAGTGCGTGAGTGAGTGCGTGAGTGCGTGAGTGAGTGAGTGCGTGAGTGAGTGCGTGAGTGCGTGATTGAGTGAGTGCGTGAGTGAGTGTGTGAGTGAGTGCGTGAGTGAGTGCGTGAGTGAGTGCGTGAGTCCCTGAGTGCGCGAGTGAGTGAGTGCGTGAGTGAGTGCGTGAGTGCGTGAGTGAGTGAGTGCGTGAGTGAGTGCGTGAGTGCGTGATTGAGTGAGTGCGTGAGTGAGTGCGTGAGTGCGTGATTGAGTGAGTGCGTGAGTGAGTGCGTGAGTGCGTGATTGAGTGAGTGCGTGAGTGAGTGCGTGAGTGCGTGAGTGAGTGAGTGCGTGAGTGAGTGCGTGAGTGCGTGATTGAGTGAGTGCGTGAGTGAGTGCGTGAGTGCGTGAGTGAGTGAGTGCGTGAGTGAGTGCGTGAGTGCGTGATTGAGTGAGTGCGTGAGTGAGTGCGTGAGTGCGTGAGTGAGTGAGTGCGTGAGTGAGTGCGTGAGTGCGTGATTGAGTGAGTGCGTGAGTGAGTGCGTGAGTGCGTGAGTGAGTGAGTGCGTGAGTGAGTGCGTGAGTGCGTGATTGAGTGAGTGCGTGAGTGAGTGCGTGAGTGCGTGAGTGAGTGAGTGCGTGAGTGAGTGCGTGAGTGCGTGATTGAGTGAGTGCGTGAGTGAGTGCGTGAGTGCGTGAGTGAGTGAGTGCGTGAGTGAGTGCGTGAGTGCGTGATTGAGTGAGTGCGTGAGTGAGTGCGTGAGTGCGTGATTGAGTGAGTGCGTGAGTGAGTGCGTGAGTGCGTGATTGAGTGAGTGCGTGAGTGAGTGCGTGAGTGCGTGAGTGAGTGAGTGCGTGAGTGAGTGCGTGAGTGCGTGATTGAGTGAGTGCGTGAGTGAGTGCGTGAGTGCGTGAGTGAGTGAGTGCGTGAGTGAGTGCGTGAGTGCGTGATTGAGTGAGTGCGTGAGTGAGTGCGTGAGTGCGTGAGTGAGTGAGTGCGTGAGTGAGTGCGTGAGTGCGTGATTGAGTGAGTGCGTGAGTGAGTGCGTGAGTGCGTGAGTGAGTGAGTGCGTGAGTGAGTGCGTGAGTGCGTGATTGAGTGAGTGCGTGAGTGAGTGCGTGAGTGCGTGAGTGAGTGAGTGCGTGAGTGAGTGCGTGAGTGCGTGAGTGAGTGAGTGCGTGAGTGAGTGCGTGAGTGCGTGATTGAGTGAGTGCGTGAGTGAGTGCGTGAGTGCGTGAGTGAGTGAGTGCGTGAGTGAGTGCGTGAGTGCGTGATTGAGTGAGTGCGTGAGTGAGTGCGTGAGTGAGTGAGTGCGTGAGTGAGTGCGTGAGTGCGTGATTGAGTGAGTGCGTGAGTGAGTGCGTGAGTGCGTGATTGAGTGAGTGCGTGAGTGAGTGCGTGAGTGCGTGATTGAGTGAGTGCGTGAGTGAGTGCGTGAGTGCGTGAGTGAGTGAGTGCGTGAGTGAGTGCGTGAGTGCGTGAGTGAGTGAGTGCGTGAGTGAGTGCGTGAGTGCGTGATTGAGTGAGTGCGTGAGTGAGTGCGTGAGTGCGTGAGTGAGTGAGTGCGTGAGTGAGTGCGTGAGTGCGTGATTGAGTGAGTGCGTGAGTGAGTGCGTGAGTGCGTGAGTGAGTGAGTGCGTGAGTGAGTGCGTGAGTGCGTGATTGAGTGAGTGCGTGAGTGAGTGCGTGAGTGCGTGAGTGAGTGAGTGCGTGAGTGAGTGCGTGAGTGCGTGATTGAGTGAGTGCGTGAGTGAGTGCGTGAGTGCGTGAGTGAGTGAGTGCGTGAGTGAGTGCGTGAGTGCGTGATTGAGTGAGTGCGTGAGTGAGTGCGTGAGTGCGTGAGTGAGTGAGTGCGTGAGTGAGTGCGTGAGTGCGTGATTGAGTGAGTGCGTGAGTGAGTGCGTGAGTGCGTGAGTGAGTGAGTGCGTGAGTGAGTGCGTGAGTGCGTGAGTGAGTGAGTGCGTGAGTGAGTGCGTGAGTGCGTGATTGAGTGAGTGCGTGAGTGAGTGCGTGAGTGCGTGAGTGAGTGAGTGCGTGAGTGAGTGCGTGAGTGCGTGATTGAGTGAGTGCGTGAGTGAGTGCGTGAGTGCGTGAGTGAGTGAGTGCGTGAGTGAGTGCGTGAGTGCGTGAGTGAGTGAGTGCGTGAGTGAGTGCGTGAGTGCGTGATTGAGTGAGTGCGTGAGTGAGTGCGTGAGTGCGTGAGTGAGTGAGTGCGTGAGTGAGTGCGTGAGTGCGTGATTGAGTGAGTGCGTGAGTGAGTGCGTGAGTGAGTGAGTGCGTGAGTGAGTGCGTGAGTGCGTGAGTGAGTGAGTGCGTGAGTGAGTGCGTGAGTGCGTGATTGAGTGAGTGCGTGAGTGAGTGCGTGAGTGCGTGAGTGAGTGAGTGCGTGAGTGAGTGCGTGAGTGCGTGATTGAGTGAGTGCGTGAGTGAGTGCGTGAGTGCGTGAGTGAGTGAGTGCGTGAGTGAGTGCGTGAGTGCGTGAGTGAGTGAGTGCGTGAGTGAGTGCGTGAGTGCGTGATTGAGTGAGTGCGTGAGTGAGTGCGTGAGTGCGTGAGTGAGTGAGTGCGTGAGTGAGTGCGTGAGTGCGTGATTGAGTGAGTGCGTGAGTGAGTGCGTGAGTGAGTGAGTGCGTGAGTGAGTGCGTGAGTGCGTGATTGAGTGAGTGCGTGAGTGAGTGCGTGAGTGCGTGATTGAGTGAGTGCGTGAGTGAGTGCGTGAGTGCGTGAGTGAGTGAGTGCGTGAGTGAGTGCGTGAGTGCGTGAGTGAGTGAGTGCGTGAGTGAGTGCGTGAGTGCGTGATTGAGTGAGTGCGTGAGTGAGTGCGTGAGTGCGTGAGTGAGTGAGTGCGTGAGTGAGTGCGTGAGTGCGTGATTGAGTGAGTGCGTGAGTGAGTGCGTGAGTGCGTGAGTGAGTGAGTGCGTGAGTGAGTGCGTGAGTGCGTGATTGAGTGAGTGCGTGAGTGAGTGCGTGAGTGCGTGAGTGAGTGAGTGCGTGAGTGAGTGCGTGAGTGCGTGATTGAGTGAGTGCGTGAGTGAGTGCGTGAGTGCGTGAGTGAGTGAGTGCGTGAGTGAGTGCGTGAGTGCGTGATTGAGTGAGTGCGTGAGTGAGTGCGTGAGTGCGTGATTGAGTGAGTGCGTGAGTGAGTGCGTGAGTGCGTGAGTGAGTGAGTGCGTGAGTGAGTGCGTGAGTGCGTGATTGAGTGAGTGCGTGAGTGAGTGCGTGAGTGCGTGATTGAGTGAGTGCGTGAGTGAGTGCGTGAGTGCGTGAGTGAGTGAGTGCGTGAGTGAGTGCGTGAGTGCGTGATTGAGTGAGTGCGTGAGTGAGTGCGTGAGTGCGTGAGTGAGTGAGTGCGTGAGTGAGTGCGTGAGTGCGTGATTGAGTGAGTGCGTGAGTGAGTGCGTGAGTGCGTGAGTGAGTGAGTGCGTGAGTGAGTGCGTGAGTGCGTGATTGAGTGAGTGCGTGAGTGAGTGCGTGAGTGCGTGAGTGAGTGAGTGCGTGAGTGAGTGCGTGAGTGAGTGCGTGAGTGCGTGATTGAGTGAGTGCGTGAGTGAGTGCGTGAGTGCGTGAGTGAGTGAGTGCGTGAGTGAGTGCGTGAGTGCGTGATTGAGTGAGTGCGTGAGTGAGTGCGTGAGTGCGTGAGTGAGTGAGTGCGTGAGTGAGTGCGTGAGTGCGTGAGTGAGTGAGTGCGTGAGTGAGTGCGTGAGTGCGTGAGTGAGTGAGTGCGTGAGTGAGTGCGTGAGTGCGTGAGTGAGTGAGTGCGTGAGTGAGTGCGTGAGTGCGTGATTGAGTGAGTGCGTGAGTGAGTGCGTGAGTGCGTGAGTGAGTGAGTGCGTGAGTGAGTGCGTGAGTGCGTGAGTGAGTGAGTGCGTGAGTGAGTGCGTGAGTGCGTGAGTGAGTGAGTGCGTGAGTGAGTGCGTGAGTGCGTGAGTGAGTGAGTGCGTGAGTGAGTGCGTGAGTGCGTGAGTGAGTGAGTGCGTGAGTGAGTGCGTGAGTGCGTGAGTGAGTGAGTGCGTGAGTGAGTGCGTGAGTGCGTGAGTGAGTGAGTGCGTGAGTGAGTGCGTGAGTGCGTGATTGAGTGAGTGCGTGAGTGAGTGCGTGAGTGCGTGAGTGAGTGAGTGCGTGAGTGAGTGCGTGAGTGCGTGATTGAGTGAGTGCGTGAGTGAGTGCGTGAGTGCGTGAGTGAGTGAGTGCGTGAGTGAGTGCGTGAGTGCGTGATTGAGTGAGTGCGTGAGTGAGTGCGTGAGTGCGTGAGTGAGTGAGTGCGTGAGTGAGTGCGTGAGTGCGTGATTGAGTGAGTGCGTGAGTGAGTGCGTGAGTGCGTGAGTGAGTGAGTGCGTGAGTGAGTGCGTGAGTGCGTGATTGAGTGAGTGCGTGAGTGAGTGCGTGAGTGCGTGAGTGAGTGAGTGCGTGAGTGAGTGCGTGAGTGCGTGATTGAGTGAGTGCGTGAGTGAGTGCGTGAGTGCGTGAGTGAGTGAGTGCGTGAGTGAGTGCGTGAGTGCGTGATTGAGTGAGTGCGTGAGTGAGTGCGTGAGTGCGTGAGTGAGTGAGTGCGTGAGTGAGTGCGTGAGTGCGTGAGTGAGTGAGTGCGTGAGTGCGTGATTGGGTGAGTGCGTGGGGGAGTGCGGGGGTGGTGAAGTGGTACATGCGACACATGACTGAATTCCGCGGTAACCCATGTCCATTCACTCAAGTGCCGAAAGCCTGCAAATTCAAATTCCGGGCTTTCAGTGCGATGGGGTTCAAGCTGGGCTGGTTGAGACAAGATGGGCGGGGCTGAGTTGAGATTAGCTGGGCTAAGACGAGATTGAAGCTTCTTTATTTTACAGGTAAAAAGGGCCTGCTGCTGGGAGGCTGCAACGAGAATGAGGGAAATATCACAGATTGGGTGGTGGAGTTGTCCCAATGCGCCATATCATTCGTTTTCCCTACCCCTAACCCCACCACCCTTTCCTTGCTTTCACCCTGCCACCCTCTCTTTCTCCTCCCTCTCCCCCCTACAAACCCCCCACCCCCCTCACCCGTGTGAGAGCAGGTGTTCGCCGGCATTCTCTACTGGGACGGCTACTTCGCCCCGCAGCCATTCCGCTTCGAACCTTACGACCCACTCACCAACCTCGTCAAGGTTCGCTCACTCACTTGAATAGCCCTGTTGTAGACATCCTTGAACACGTGGGTGTAGTCACACGGGTGCTATAGCATGGGGCTAGATAGTGTTCCAAGCTTCCTGAAACATGTGGGTGTAGTCACCCTCACCCCTTTACCCACTATCCCAGCCCACACGCGCGGCAACCCCATATGACACAGACACGTACTGTACCCCGTATGGCACAACGGACCTGGCGCATTTCCGAGTCTTCTTTTGAGGCGCATAAAAGATCGCAGTATTCGCAAACAAGGCTCAAAACTATTTCTTCTGAGTCGCCTCCAGATTAGCCGGTGAAGTGAAGTGGAGGTATTCATGAACAAGTGAGTCGCTCAAGCCCATGTCCATGCAATTGTGCCATTTGTACAACATACTGTACCCAGCTTCCCTCCCCACTAGCCAGTAGCTCATATCAGCCCCCTTACTCACCCGCTAGCCCATCTACTACGCCTCCTTCCCCAAGAGGACCCTTACGAGGGTGATGCCTGTGCAGTGCAGCTGGTGGAGAGAGCTGTAACCGGTTGGTCGCCGACTCAGAGTGGTTACATTCTATACCGTTAGCCCACCTGACCTGTGCCCCTTGGCACAACATGACAAATCTCCCACGGGGCAACTCTTATGAGGCTCATGCCAACCCGGGGCAGTGCAGGTGCACCTTACCGATTTTTCAACACTGATCCCAATATAGGTGCAGAAGTTTGTGAACCGGTCGGGCGCTGACTCAGAATGGTGTAGTGCCATCAACCCACCTTCGAGGCTATGTCCTGTCCCCTGGCTGTACCCAACGTCCCCTCCCGCACGACGACCCATACGAAGCATGCCAACGTAGTTTAGTGCAGCATGTTTATGAGCAAGTCGCTGACCCAAAGTGGTCTCACTAGCCCCCACCTTCGCCCCTTTGCCCACCTCCCCCACCCCCTCTTGACAGGACGACCCTTTCCCAGCAGATGGCAACGTACTGCAGCTGGTGGAAACGTTTGTGAACAAGTCGCTGACCCAAAGTGGTGACACGCGCTGCGAGCCCGTGATGTGGGCCATGGGGGAGGACTTCTCGCACGCCAATCAGATGTTGCCAACATCCCCACATGTGCCCCCACCACCCAACCCAACCCCCCCTCTCCCTTGCCAGGATAACCCATATGAAGCAGACGCTAACATAGTGCAGCTGGTGGAAACGTTTGTGAACAAGTCGCTGACCCAGGCGGGTGACACGCGCAGCGAGCATGTGATGTGGGCCATGGGGGAGGACTTCTCGCACGCCAATGCTGCCCTGTGGTTCAAGAACCTGGACAAGCTGATTCACTATGTGAACCTGGTATGGCCTGGTATGGCAGCATGGTATGGCATGGTATGGCATGGTATGGCATGGTATGGCATGGTATGGCTTGGTATGGCATGGTATGGCATGGTATGGCTTGGTATGGCATGGTATGGCATGGTATGGCATGGTATGGCCTGGTATGGCATGGTATGGCCTGGTATGGCATGGTGCAGCATGATGCATGCCGCCCCTGCCGGTATTGTTGGAAATAGGCTGCACTTTATGTGTTAGCCTTGAAAATTTTAGGGTTTACGTTTCTTAGCAAGTTCATTCTTTGGTTGGGTTGGGTGTAGACTTTTTATCCCCAACCTATCCAACCTCATCCCCAACCAAAATCTTATCCTCCTTTGGTTGGTTGGTTGGATTGGCTGGATCTCTTTAGGATTTCCTTGGGATTGCATCTCATCCAACCAATCCCTCCTAGCTTGTGCTACTTAAGGCCTTGTATCCTAGTTTCTAATCAATTGATTCAATCCTTATTCTGACAGGTATGGCATGGTGCAGCATGATGTATGCCCGCCCCTGCCGCCGGTATGGCATGGTGTGTCGTGGCATGCTGTGCTGCGAAATCAGTGCTGTAAAAATACATGGGATGGTTCATATCTCCGTGTTGGCATACTGCGGCACATCAAACCAACCTTCCCCATCCTCCCCCATGCCTGTGCATGTGCATCACTGCTACCCCATCCCTCCCACCCTCCCAGTACGGGCGGGTGAACGCCCTCTACTCCACGCCCTCACGCTACCTCGATGCCGCGCATGGCATGGCGTGGCATCATGCTGCATGGTACACTGACACTCTCAATCCTCCTCTCTTCCCGTGCATGTGCATCCCTGCTACCCCGAAACAGGACGGCCGGGTGAACGCCCTCTACTCCACGCCCTCACGCTACCTCAATGCCAAGCACCGCAGCAACCTCTCCTGGTCGCTCAAGCAAGGAGACTTCCTTCCGTGAGTGGAACTCACGAAAGGAAACTTCTTCCTGTGCGTGGCCCTGCACTCATGAACAGAGAGCAACCTTATTCCAGCGGTCCAGCGCACACACTAGAGGCTGGAACTTGAATGCTTGGCAAGTGCATGCACACTTGAAGCCACTTACGGCACATGTGATGAGGCAGACGGGACAGTACAAAGGTAAGTGACTGCGGCTCCAGGCGCGCAGCAGGTTACTCTGGTCCTGTCGTGTCTATTTCGTGTCATTGAGCACTGGCCCAGGTCAGGCCATGACTGTCTCGGTGACTTACGGCCTCTCAGCTCTCCGCAGAGCCGCCTTCAGTGCCCACCACTCCACAGCAACCCATGTCAAGGCCTGTTTCCTTCTACACGTTCTCCGTGTTTTTTCAATGTGGTTTCTGTAGCAAGTTACCATTGTGGGCCGCGAGGCGAGGGTCCGTATTGTACAGTGCCCAGTGCCCACTCGCTTGGCTGCTTCAGTCCTTGTCCCATTCTGTGGCATGCCTGACTGCCTGACTGCCTGGTTGGCAGGTACGCGAGTGGTTCTATTGAGTACTGGACGGGGTACTACTCAAGCCGCCCGGCCTTCAAGGGCTATGCTCGCATGTGTAGTAGCCTGCTGCAGGTAAGTTGCTGCTGCTGAGTTGCTGCTGCTGAGTTGCTGGAGACATATCACTCTCTGCGGTGCACCCTCAAGGCAGTGTTCAATCACAGAGGGTATTTGCCCTGAGGCTGTGCTTGCAGTGCTGCTGTCAACCAATCAGTGCGCCATCCATACCCCCACCCCACATCCCTCCCTTCCTCGTCCTTTCTGCCCTCTCCCATTTTTGCCCGCTCGATGCTCCTCCCTCCTGCAGGCAGCCACTCGACTGGAAGCGTCAGTGGGCTGGGCGAACATGCAAGTGTGGGAAAACAGCACATCCCGCCCGTCCTCCTGAATCCTCATTGCCATCCATGCCACATGCCCCCCCTGCCCAGCCCACACAGTCCACACACACCCTCCCTTCTCCCCCAATGCACCCGCCCGACGCTTCTTGAGCAGGCAGCCACGCTCCTAGAAGCATCAGTGGGCAGGTCCAACCTCCAAGCCTGGGGTAACCAAACCTCACGCCTCGTAGTGCCTGTGCTGCTCTCCACCAACCTCTCTGCCATCCACGCCCCCTCGCCCCCGCCCTCCCGTCTCGCCTCGACGTTCCCTCTGGAGGAGGCAGTGGCAGTGGCACAGCACCACGATGCCATCACAGGCACGGCGAAGCAGCATGTGAATGACGACTACACACTGCAGCTCCATACAGCAGCACAGGAGGTAGGGCATAAAATGGTTTAGGGCGTAGGTGGGGTTGGGCATGGGGGGGGGTAGGGACCACCAGGGATGGGGACATGCGGGGTGATGGCAGTGGCACAGCACCATGGTGCCATCACAGGCTCGGCACGGCAGCATGTGAACGATGATTACACGCTGCAGATTTACAGAGGAGCAAAAATGGTAGGGCGTGGGGTAGATAGAGTAAAGGTGTGTGTGGCGTTGGTGGGGCCCATGGGGAATGGGGGCATGAGGAGAGGAGGGATGGTGGCAGTGGCACAGCACCATGGTGCCATTACGAGCACGGCACGGCACGGCAGCATGTGAATGACGATTACACGCTGCAACTGTACAGGGAGCACAGGAGGTGTGTTGGGGTGGGGAAAAGCAAGGGTGGGTGGGGCAGAGGGCGTGCGAAATGACGCCATCGCACATGAGGCAGTGGCAGTGCAACTGCTTCCCCAGGAAATCAAACTGGTATCAGACCTGGGCTTGTTCAGACTGGCGTTTTGAACACAAGCCGTGAGTCGAACTGGGTCCCAGGCCGTGCCTGGATGGGTTGCCTTGTCATCAAGTGGATTCTTACACTCTACGCACCCTTACCCCCCTTCTCCCCCCCCTCCCCCCCTCTCCTCCCTCCCTCCCTCCCTCCCCCGTTGTCCTTTGCTCCTTTCCCAACCCCATGCACGTCCCATCCCCTACCCCCAGGCGTCTGTGATAGTGACCTCGTCCCTCACGCACCTCATCACTCAGGGCTGGCTGGGTTGCAAACCCACTGCTGCTACTCCTGCATCCCATGCACTTCTTATCTCTCCTATCCCATGCTGCAGGCATCTGTGATAGTGACCTCGTCGCTCACTCACCTCATCACTCAGGGCGCACTGAACCTCCAACCCACTGCTGCCGCCACTCCTGCTGCTCCTGCTGCTCGCAGCACAGGCGAACGTGCTGCTCCTGTGCCTTCCGGTGGCACCAAGGCACTCTATAACGAGACAGGGAAAACGGGCAGTGCAGGCATGGACGATGTGCTGAGACTTGGCCTTGACTTCCAGCTGGTAATGAGAAAGGCGGTGTGAGTGAGTGACAGTGTCCCATCCTCCTCGCCGTGCATTCTGTCCCCGAGGGCCCTTGAGCACTCCACTCAACTCAATGTATCAACATGTGCTACATTATCGGATCAGAACACATCCTTGTCTCTACTGCTTGCCCCTTTCTTCCTCTCCCTTTCACGCCCTTCGCCGCTCCCTTCCCCACCTCACTGCAGTGCCCGCTGCTCAACATCTCCTACTGCCCGCCCACGCACAGCCCTATTCCCCCCGGCACCACGCTGGTATGCTTACTCGGAACCACATTGCAGCGTGGCTGTTTCCAGCCACGCCTTTCTCTCTCCGCATCCGATAAGCGATCATGCATAATTCTGGACTGGTTCTGATGAGGTGGCGCTGTGGAATGGTGCTGCCACGTGTTGTCTAACTGGTCGAGCTGGCTCAGTTCAGTATCAGATAAAAGTCAACATGCAGGAGTAACTCAAGGAGTGAGTGGGTAGTCACGACGACCATGCCTGCAAGCGGCGCGTTTCCAACAGTCCCCAGTGCTGAACTCATTCGACCAACCAACCAACTCATCTGCATGAAGCTGCTATGGCCATACGGCACCCCATAACCATATGCCCACCCCATGCCCACACAACCCTTCCATGCCCACCCAGGTCATTGCTGCATACAACCCCCTCGGTTGGGCGCGAGACGAGATCATCCGCATTCCTGTGAGTGTAGCGACGAGTGGAATGGAATGGAGACTCATTCGTTGGTTGCTACTTTCAGTTTGCCGCCCATCTTTGCCCCTTCTTCCTGTTCTTCTTCCTTTTCTTGCCCAGTCACAGCCCCCTCCTTTCCCGCTCTTCCTTCCCCACCATTTCCCCCTTCCGCCTCTCTCTTCCCTGTCAAGCCCACCCTGTGCCATCTCCCACCTCTCCACTAGCTCACTTCACGCCACGCCTCCTCTCCTCCCGGTCTTCCAACCCCAGGTCTCCTCCCCTGCAGTCATTGTGACTGACGCCCATGGCAATGTCGTTCCCTCACAGGCCATTCCCGAGGTCCTGGTTCCGTGGGAGACCCGTGAGAGGTACATAAGTGTGCAGGTGGGTGAGGAGAAGGTGAGGGGTGACGCGGAGGGGGTGAGAGGGGGCAAGGAGGGGGTGAAGGGGGGCAAGGGGGAGAAGCGAGGGAGGGAGAAGCGAGGGAGGGAGGTGAGGGAGACGCTACGGCAGCAGGGGGAGGACCAACAGCAGGGGGAGGAGCAGCAGCAGAAGAAGCAGCAGCAGCAGGAGGGCGTGGTGGTGTCTCTGGTGTTCCGTGCCAAGGTGCCACCCCTCGGCTACTCCACCTTCTTCCTCTCCCCAGCGCCCCCCAACACCCCCGGCGCTGCAGTCACGAGCACTGAGTGGCAGGCACGTGTGCAGCCGGAAACAGGGGGTGGGGAGTGGGGCAAGGGGGAGGAGGCGGGTGAGGGAGAGGAGGGACGGGGGGAAGGGGGTAAGGAGGGGAAGGAAGTAGGGGAGGAAGAGGGGGTGGAGAGAGAAAGTGTGATCGAAGAGGAGGAGGGTGAAGGGGTTGGTGGTGGTGATTTGATTGTGCTGGGAGGCTGGGATGGGGCTGCTGCTGGCGGTGCTGGCGGTGCTGGCGGTGCTGGCGGTGCCGGCGTTGCTTCTGCTGCTACTGATGGGAAGGGGGGTACCAACTCTGGGAGCACAGCGCCAAGGAGCACAGCGCCAGGGGGCTCTCCTGCACCGAGTGTGTTGCGAGTACTTTTCTCAAAGGCAGCGTATGGCATGACTCGCCTGCAACTGCTTGGCCGCAACCAGCAGGGAAACGAGACAGTGGTAAGATGCTGCACTGCGGATTGTTTCTCTGTGCGCTTCTTCCTGTTTGCTGGGAGCATTCTTTTGCATTGACTTTGCCTTCTCACTCATAGCCTCTGCTTCTAATTGCGATTTTTGTTCCCTAGCCCTCCTTGCATCTGTCCATCCATGCTCTCCTGCTTTGCTCATCGGAACTTCCTTCCTGTCTGTTGTTTCAGCTTTCAGACCAGCAAGTGGGCACGGGCATGGGCGTCTACATTTCAAATCACGTGCGTACATGGGGGCTTACACTTAAAAAGCACTTTTCCTCTGGCTCTCCTCCCTTGCTCTTCCCACCTCCCCCACTTCGTAACTGCACCACAAACCTTAACTCCCTGCATCATCCCATTTTCTCCCTTTTAATTTTCATGTCTTTCCCTTTTCTTTCCATCCTTGTCAATACGAGCCCGTCTGTCGATGCCATTCTATGCCACTCCCGTCCGATCATACAATGTACACTTCTCATGTCATGCCATGCGCCCTATGTTCCACCATACCATCGCAGGGGCGTGTACTTTACACCCTTTGCGGTTGCTATCGCCCATGCTTCTTGCACAACAGAGATCTCATGCTCTCCAACTCACAACTACCCCCCACCATTGCATGCCGTTATCGCCTTGCCATCCCACATTGCATGGTGTGGCATGGCATGTCATAAGCATGGTATGGCGTGGCATGGCATGTCATGGTGTGGCGTGGCGTGGCATGGCATGGCGTGGCGTGGCATGGCGTGGCATGGCATGGCATTGCATGGCATGGCATGTCATGGCGTGGCATGGGATGGCATTGCATGGCATGTCATGGCACGGCATGGCGTGGCATGGCATGGCATGGCATGGCATGGCGTGGCGTGGCGTGGCGTGGCGTGGCGTGGCATGGCGTGGCGTGGCGTGGCGTGGCATGGCATGGCATGGCATGGCGTGGTGTGGCATGGCATGGCATGGCATGGCATGGCATGGCGGGGCAGGCAGCAGGGGCATACATCTTCAACCCCCCACATGCAGCCACGTCTGCTCAGAACATGAGCCAACAGGCAAGTGCTGTCTGTCAGCACTAGGACCACACCCAAGAATCCCTCAAGAGCAACACATAGATTTAGCAACACACGTGAATCAAGTTTGCATAGTTGGTGGCATGGTAGAGCAAGGTGGCATGGTAGAGCAAGGTGGCATGGTAGAGCAAGGTGGCATGGTAGAGCAAGGTGGCACGCACACTGACTAGAACACATTGGCACACACACACACAATAAGCCCTTACATCACAGCACGTATGGTCCGCCCCGCGCTCTAAACCCGTCTAGAGCAGCATCACTGGCACGCTCAGCGTCCTCACGCGCTCTGAATCCATCCATCACCGAAGCTCCACTCTCATCCCCGCCCTCAGCATCCCTCGCTGCACTCACTCACTCCCTTCTCTCATCACCGCAGGTGCCAATCCGAGTGCTGCGAGGGCCGCTGGTGGAGGAGTTTCACCGAGCACTGGCGCCCTGGCTGTCCGAGGTGGGTGGCTGTCCGAGGTGGGTGGCTGACAGAGGTGGGCGGGTGTCAGAGTTGAGTTAGTTGGTGCGTTAGTTGGTGAGGTCTCTGCCCTTGTCTTCAACTCTTACTTGCACAGAGGGATCCCCTTGCATCCTGGATGGATGGTTTGACCTTGCTAGTCAAGAAAGGCAGTGCCCCGCACAAGATGGCATGAGCAGCACTTAGCATCTCTTGAATCTCCTCCTCTGCCCTGCAACCTGCCTGGCTTGCCGTGCAGGTCATTCGCGTGTATCCTGGACGGGACTACGCGGAGATGCATTATATGGTGAGCAGCCGTGGCCAATCAAACCACCCCACATCATTATGTATGCACTTCAGTAGATGAACTTCAGCCAATCAAACCGCCCCACATGCATGCATGCATATCGACACCATCAGGTGGGCCCGGTGCCCTGGAAGCTGCTGCAGGGCATGTCTGCCATGCCTAGATAACCAATCTATTATGCCATGCCATACCATGCCATGCCATGCCATGCCATGCCATGCATGCATATCGACATCATCAGGTGGGTCCAGTGCCCAGGAAGCCCTCTGTGGCTCGAGAGGTGGTCACTCGCTTCGCCTCCTCCATCGCCTCTGCTGGAGCACTGTTCACCGACTCGCAAGCCCGCGACTACCTTCGCCGGGTGAGAAAAAGCTGCATGGTTCATGCATGGACCCCACACCACACCGCTGCATTGCCTGCTAAGGCCCTTTTCACCATGCTGTGCCATGTGCCCTTCTGTGCCCTTCTGTGCCCTTCTGTGCCCTTCTGTGCCCTTGTGTGCCCTTCTGTGCCCTTCTGTGCCCTTGTGTGCCCTTGTGTGCCCTTGTGTGCCCTTCTGTGCCCTTGTGTGCCCTTGTGTGCCCTTGTGTGCCCTTCTGTGCCCTTGTGTGCCCTTGTGTGCCCTTGTGTGCCCTTCTGTGCCCTTGTGTGCCCTTGTGTGCCCTTGTGTGCCCTTGTGTGCCCTTCTGTGCCCTTCTGTGCCCTTCTGTGCCCTTGTGTGCCCTTGTGTGCCCTTGTGTGCCCTTGTGTGCCCTTGTGTGCCCTTCTGTGCCCTTCTGTGCCCTTGTGTGCCCTTGTGTGCCCTTGTGTGCCCTTGTGTGCCCTTGTGTGCCCTTGTGTGCCCTTGTGTGCCCTTCTGTGCCCTTCTGTGCCCTTCTGTGCCCTTCTGTGCCCTTGTGTGCCCTTGTGTGCCCTTGTGTGCCCTTGTGTGCCCTTCTGTGCCCTTCTGTGCCCTTCTGTGCCCTTGTGTGCCCTTGTGTGCCCTTGTGTGCCCTTCTGTGCCCTTCTGTGCCCTTCTGTGCCCTTGTGTGCCCTTGTGTGCCCTTGTGTGCCCTTGTGTGCCCTTCTGTGCCCTTCTGTGCCCTTGTGTGCCCTTGTGTGCCCTTGTGTGCCCTTGTGTGCCCTTGTGTGCCCTTCTGTGCCCTTCTGTGCCCTTCTGTGCCCTTGTGTGCCCTTGTGTGCCCTTGTGTGCCCTTGTGTGCCCTTGTGTGCCCTTCTGTGCCCTTCTGTGCCCTTCTGTGCCCTTGTGTGCCCTTGTGTGCCCTTGTGTGCCCTTGTGTGCCCTTGTGTGCCCTTGTGTGCCCTTGTGTGCCCTTGTGTGCCCTTGTGTGCCCTTCTGTGCCCTTCTGTGCCCTTGTGTGCCCTTGTGTGCCCTTGTGTGCCCTTGTGTGCCCTTGTGTGCCCTTCTGTGCCCTTCTGTGCCCTTCTGTGCCCTTGTGTGCCCTTGTGTGCCCTTGTGTGCCCTTGTGTGCCCTTGTGTGCCCTTGTGTGCCCTTCTGTGCCCTTCTGTGCCCTTCTGTGCCCTTGTGTGCCCTTGTGTGCCCTTGTGTGCCCTTGTGTGCCCTTGTGTGCCCTTGTGTGCCCTTGTGTGCCCTTGTGTGCCCTTGTGTGCCCTTGTGTGCCCTTGTGTGCCCTTGTGTGCCCTTGTGTGCCCTTGTGTGCCCTTGTGTGCCCTTGTGTGCCCTTGTGTGCCCTTGTGTGCCCTTGTGTGCCCTTGTGTGCCCTTGTGTGCCCTTGTGTGCCCTTGTGTGCCCTTGTGTGCCCTTGTGTGCCCTTGTGTGCCCTTGTGTGCCCTTGTGTGCCCTTGTGTGCCCTTGTGTGCCCTTGTGTGCCCTTGTGTGCCCTTGTGTGCCCTTGTGTGCCCTTGTGTGCCCTTGTGTGCCCTTGTGTGCCCTTGTGTGCCCTTGTGTGCCCTTGTGTGCCCTTGTGTGCCCTTGTGTGCCCTTGTGTGCCCTTGTGTGCCCTTGTGTGCCCTTGTGTGCCCTTGTGTGCCCTTGTGTGCCCTTGTGTGCCCTTGTGTGCCCTTGTGTGCCCTTGTGTGCCCTTGTGTGCCCTTGTGTGCCCTTGTGTGCCCTTGTGTGCCCTTGTGTGCCCTTGTGTGCCCTTGTGTGCCCTTGTGTGCCCTTGTGTGCCCTTGTGTGCCCTTGTGTGCCCTTGTGTGCCCTTGTGTGCCCTTGTGTGCCCTTGTGTGCCCTTGTGTGCCCTTGTGTGCCCTTGTGTGCCCTTGTGTGCCCTTGTGTGCCCTTGTGTGCCCTTGTGTGCCCTTGTGTGCCCTTGTGTGCCCTTGTGTGCCCTTGTGTGCCCTTGTGTGCCCTTGTGTGCCCTTGTGTGCCCTTGTGTGCCCTTGTGTGCCCTTGTGTCAGCATGCCATGCCGCCCCTCCAACAACCCTGCCCCCCCTGAACCCTGTCATCCTCATGCTCTGTGCCTCGCATGCCGCCATGCCCATCAGGAGCGCAACCATCGGTCGGATTAGTACCTCACCATCGGATCGGCCACCGTTAGTACCTCACCTCCTACCAGCCTGTCGCACCTTTAACACGCCCCAAAATCCCATGCTCCCTCCCTCCTCCCTCATCCCCCCCCCCATCCGTCCCATGCCCCCACGCCTATCAGGTGCGCAACCATCGATCGGATTGGAACCTCACCGTCTACCAGCCAATCGCAGGCAACTTCTACCCTGTCAGTCACTGCTCTCAGGTGTCTGTGTGACATGTATAAATGGCATTTTTCGGCAGCACTTGTTGGCATGCCCGCGACTGGTGTGTGTAGATGGTGCCGTTGCATGGACGTGCATGTGACATTGAGCATATTGCTGCTGTTTGTATATCGCATGGCACATTTTCGCATGTGCTGTGCACATGCCAGCATGTAAAACACGAGCTCCCAGGCGCGTCACACGGCGTCTCCCATGCCCTCCTCTGCCCTCCCCTGCCCTCCTCTCCCCTCCTTTCCCTTCATCTGCCGTCCTCTCTCCTCCTCTGCCCTCCTCTCCCCTCCTCTCCCCTCCTTTCCCCTCCTCTGCCTAACATCTCCTCCACTGCCTTCCTCTCTCCTCCTCTGCCTCCTCTCTCCTCCTCTCTCCTGCGAGCATCGCCCATCCATGCCCCCTCCTATGCCCGCCCACAGCTCACAGCAGGGGCGTTCATTGCGGACAGCACCGCCCAGCTCTCGCTGCTGGTTGCCCGTTGAGGTGCCTGAGAATACTCGCCCCACCTCGTCTGCCCTCTTATTCCCTCCGTGCATCGCCTCTCCCTTCCCATCCCATCCTCCCATGCCCGCCCACAGCTCACAGCAGGGGCGTTCATAGCGGACAGCACCGCCCAGCTCTCACTGCTGGTGGACCGGCCACTGGGGGCGGCCAGCCTGGCAGACGGGCAGATCGAAGTCATGCTGCACCGGTGAGCGGTGAGGAGGCGTGGGTGCCGGTTGTGGAGTAGGTAATAGCACCGCCACTGTGCACCGCCACTGTGCACCGCCACTGTGCACCGCCACTGTGCACCGCCACTGTGCACCGCCACTGTGCACCGCCACTGTGCACCGCCACTGTGCACCGCCACTGTGCACCGCCACTGTGCACCGCCACTGTGCACCGCCACTGTGCACCGCCACTGTGCACCGCCACTGTGCACCGCCACTGTGCACCGCCACTGTGCACCGCCACTGTGCACCGCCACTGTGCACCGCCACTGTGCACCGCCACTGTGCACCGCCACTGTGCACCGCCACTGTGCACCGCCACTGTGCACCGCCCACTGGGGGCGGCCAGCCATGTAGACGGGCAGCTGGAATTGATGCTGCAGGGTGAGTGCTGAGGCGTGGCTTCATGTGCCATGAGCCGGCACAGCATTACTGTAGTTTCATGGTGAGGTTGATGTTTATAGTCTTCTTGAGGTGTAGTTTTGAAGAGTAGGTATAAGCCCCTATGTGTTTACACCGCCAACCACCACTCTTTCCGTCCCTGTTTCTTCCCTCACTCAGACCCACTCACTGTTCCTTTCCTCACACAGACTCACTCACTGCTCCTTCTCTCACTCCCTCACACCTCTCTCTCCCCTGCGCATTCGTCCCTCTCAGGCCCATGATTTCAAACAGTGGGAAGGGCGTGTGGGGGAGGGTTGGGGGGATTGTCTGCCTCCTGGGCACATGATTTCAGACGCTTGGTTTCCTGGGCACATGATTTCAGACGCTTGGTTTCCTGGGCACATGATTTCAGACGCTTGGTTTCCTGGGCACATGATTTCAGACGCTTGGATTACATATGATTCCTAAAATTATGATTCCTAAAACATATGATTCCTAAAAATCTCATACTAACAGAAAACTTCCATTTAAGGAATTTCCCAAGTCATGCATCTTCCCGCCTCCCTGCCAGGCGCATGATCTCAGACGACGGCAAGGGCGTGGCGGAGGTGCTTGATGAGAAGGTCTGCGACTCCCATGATAACTGCACCCCCCTCGCTGTGAGTGCATGGCACGTCACACTGACTGCACCCTCCCCTGGCCATGAATGCATGGCATGGCATGGCATGGCACGATGCAATAGGCAATGTGGGCTTTGCCCTTTCACGCGTTCATGTTCTGGAGTGGAATATTCAGCAGGTGGCAACAGCAAGTAAGGGTGTCCTCCATTCCGCATCTTCTTGGATATAGGGACTTTGACGTTTGTGAATATGATCTCCATTTATCACAAGCAAGTTTCTGTAGTGATGTTTTTTCTGTGCTTTTCTCGTGTGTGCCCCACTGCCCATCGCCATCACGCCATTGCCCTCATGCCACGGTGCTCGTGCTTCTGCCCTCGTGCTTCTGCCCTCGTGCTTCTGCCCTCGTGCTTCTGCCCTCGTGCTTCTGCCCTCGTGCTTCTGCCCTCGTGCTTCTGCCCTCGTGCTTCTGCCCTCGTGCTTCTGCCCTCGTGCTTCTGCCCTCGTGCTTCTGCCCTCGTGCTTCTGCCCTCGTGCTTCTGCCCTCGTGCTTCTGCCCTCGTGCTTCTGCCCTCGTGCTTCTGCCCTCGTGCTTCTGCCCTCGTGCTTCTGCCCTCGTGCTTCTGCCCTCGTGCTTCTGCCCTCGTGCTTCTGCCCTCGTGCTTCTGCCCTCGTGCTTCTGCCCTCGTGCTTCTGCCCTCGTGCTTCTGCCCTCGTGCTTCTGCCCTCGTGCTTCTGCCCTCGTGCTTCTGCCCTCGTGCTTCTGCCCTCGTGCTTCTGCCCTCGTGCTTCTGCCCTCGTGCTTCTGCCCCAGGTGGTGGGATTTATTCGCCTTGCTCTGCATCCCAGCGCTCCCAGCGACACCGACTGCTACAGCGGGGATCCTGGCCATGCAGGGGATTCCGGTTCAGGTGCAGCTGCAGGCGCTTCCAGTATTGATGCACTCAATAACGAGGACAGTGCAGTCACAGGCTCAGAGGAGTGGGTGTCAGAGGATTCTGTTGCAGTAAGCGGTTCTGCCAGTATAGTGGATTCTGGTAAAGTAGCGGATGCTGCCAGTAATGGAGCAGTCAATAGCGAGGACAGGGAGTGGGCCTCAGGAAATCGTGGCGGTGCAGCAGGTGCTGCTGCGGACTCCGAAGAAATTCAACCGCCGTCCGGCCGGCGAAAGCTGGGCAGCAAAGACAAGAGGCACGAAAGGCTGGGCGGCAAAGGGAAACGTAAAAGGGGGAGGGAGGAGAAGGAGAGGGGCGAAGCGGCAAGGGGTGGAGTGAGGGAGGGTGGGGGGAAGGGGGGTGTGAGGGGCGAGGCGGCCAGGTGGAGGAAGGAGCACGCAGAGAGAATGGTGTCACCACTGCAACTGGCGTTTGCACGTGAGGTGAGAGGTGGGAAGAAGTGAAGTGAGGTGAAGAGTAAGTGAAGAGAAGTGAACGGAGGTGAAGAGGGGTAAAGGGAGGTGAAAAGTAAAGGCATTTGTCTCTCTGTCATGCTTGTTTTTTATTCCTTTCGGTGGATTTGTGGTGCTTGCTCCTCTCATGGCGCATGACACACGGCACATGACGCACGGCACATGGCACATGGCGCCTGGCGCATGGCACATTGCACATGGCATATGACACATGGCACATGGCGCATGGCGCATGGCACATGGTGCATGGCACATGACACATGGCAGGAAACAAAGGCACTGAAGGCAGCGCAGGGCATGAGATGGACGTACTCCCTCTCGCACATGCCTCAAGGTGACGGCCAAGAGGTCAAACAAGGGCGCAACCAGGGCAACACACCATCGCCCTACCACCTCCCTCCAAACGTTGCAATTGTCTCGCTACAGGTGGGTGCTGGTGTTGGAAGCACACATACCACTCAGGTAGGTGCTGCTGGTGGAAGCACACATACCACTCAGCCTCACCAATGTGCCTTCTGCTCGCTACTGCCTTCTGAAACGCCCCTGAAGCAGTGTGGCTTTGGTTTGCCATCTGCTTCATCTTCCATTTCGTCCTCCGTTTTCATCATGCAATCAAATCCTTTTCGAGTTGCTGTGCACTGTACGAGGGCTCATCTGAACAGCGGTTTTGTGTTCTGGACAGATCAGCGTGCAACCTATTCTATATCACCCTCTCACCCACCCGGTCGTGTTCAGGCAGATCAGCGGGTTTGTGTGTGGAGCTACCTGGTGGTGTTCTCTCCCCCTCTCACCCACCCAGCCTCTATCCCCTCTCGACTGAAAACTATTTTTTCTCGCCTCACATGTCACCACAGGAGCTAGCACCCAATGAGGTGACAGTCCGATTTGCACATCTGTACGAGGTACGCCTGTGGCGGCTTTGATCCGTGCCCTGCCAGTGTTCTTTAGGCTGTGACGCGTGCCCTGCCTGTGTGCTTAGGCTGTGACGCGTGCCCTGTGTGCTTGAGGTGTGCTTATGCGCTGGCTTACAAGATACACCAGTGCCCCCACCTTTCGCACTTGCGGACGCTTCTCATTCCGTGATGCTTCTCATTCCGTGATGCTCCTCATTCCGTGATGCTCTTCATTCCGTGATGCTGCTCATTCCGTGATGCTGCTCATTCCGTGATGCTGCTCATTCCGTGATGCTCCTCATTCCGTGATGCTCCTCATTCCGTGATGCTCCTCATTCCGTGATGCTGCTCATTCCGTGATGCTGCTCATTCCGTGATGCTGCTCATTCCGTGATGCTGCTCATTCCGTGATGCTCCTCATTCCACGATGCTGCTAAACCCCGTCCCCACTCCCAGCCACAGAGCCCATGCATGTCACCTCACTGTCTTGTGTTTCATCGCCCAAACCCTGAAATTATTAATTCCAATACCTCTCACCGAACCTTGCACTTTCTGGTACCTGCCATTCTCCACACCTGCGACTTACCATACCTGCTGTTCACCACACCTACCACTCCCCTTACCCTGCCTCTCTACATTACCCCTCCCAGGCCAAAGAGCATCCCCAGCTGTCCAGCCTAGCCTCTGTTCATCTCCCTTTGCTCTTCGCCTCACGAAAGGTGCGCCACTGCTGATTACTCTTGTGATCATCAAACTGCTATGTCCAGCTGTTCCCACGTTACTCTCCCACTCATACTTTTCTGGCACGTATGCGTGCCAAATCAAATCTGTCTGCGCAGATCAAGGAAGTCACCGAGCTAAATATTTTCGCAAGCCAGAAACGGTCCGAGATGCGTCCACCAATGGAGTGGCGTGTGGAGGGAGATGCTGCTGGTGGACATGGCAAGCAGAGAGAGGGGAGAGCCGGCGAATCAAGCGAATCGAGCGGGAAGGAGCATGATGTGAATTCACCACTTTTAGGTGGCCCGATCGACCCTCGTGACCTGGTTCTTGAGTTAGGCCCCATGGAAATTCGAACTCTTACCATCTCCTTCCATTGAGATTCACACTGCTGGCAATGAAAATGCGGAACTGCTAACCAGGAGATCTCAACACAGCAATGGATGCCATGAATTTGGCACCATCTACAGAGTACACCCACTTCATTCCAACCAACACTGTCAACGTACATTGGTAGGTGTACATTGTTAGGCTAGGTTGGGTTGTACTGTAGAGGGTATGGTTTGCTACTTGTAATCTCTTGTATGCCCAGCTCTAGCCATTCTATGTTTCTGACGTGGTATCACGCTTAGGTTAGGTTGCACGCTTCCGCCCCACCTAACCACCTACCTACCTAGATCACCCTAGCACCCAGCCTGCCCCCTCTAGCGCCCTGCTGCTGCACGCCAGCACGCCCTGCAGCCGCTCGCCTACTGCCGTGCGCCTGCTGCCGCGCACCTGTTGCAGCACGCTTACGCGCCTACTGCGTTCCCTGCTGCCGCACACCCTGCTGCCACGCGCCCTCCTGTCATGTGCCTGCGTACCCTGCTGCCATGAGTCTTCCTGTCATGTGCCTGTGCACCCTGCTGCCGCGTGCCCTACTGTTACGCGCATGCGCACCCTGCTGCCGCGCGCCCTACTGTTACGCACATGCGCACCCTACTGTCGCGTGCCCTGCCGAGCCCTATCGTGCACCCTGTTGTGCGCCTATCGTGCCATGGCGCGCGCTCGTGCACCTTGCTGTGCACCCGCAAGTCCTGTCGCGCTCTGCTGCTGCTGACCGAGCGGGTGCAATTCACTAGGTCGTGATGGCGAAGGAGTGCTTGCATGCTATTACTGCTTGTTACTCCACCCCCCTCATCTGCTACTATACGCCACCTTGTCATGCCTTTCCTCTTTTCTAATCTCCCTGTGTTCTCCACTGTCACTGACCTCATTGCCCGCCTGCGCTCATTTGATACTAGGTTTCGCGCTGCTCTCGCTCCTGTCCAGATTGCTAACCAGCCCCCTCCCTTTTTTATCTCACCTTGCACCTCCTCGCGATCCAACTCCCTGACCGCCTCGCGCCCGCTTGCGACACCCTTCTAACCATGCACCCCTATCACCTGCCTCCACACCATCGCCTTCACCACTGGTGCAGTAGTCCCCCCATCTTTGAGGGGTGCCTTCCCTAGCTCCCTACCTCCATTGCCTCTGCTGATGTTGCTGAGCCTACTGCAACAACGGAGGTCGCAGTCGTCGCCCCCTCTAGTGAGTGGGGACAGCGCAAGGGTGGTCGTGGTCGTGGAGGAGGTGGAGGCGCTAGTTAGTCAGGAGGTGTTGACGCTGGGAATGCTGGTGCTGGGGGTTGCTGCCAAAGGAGATGGTGGGGGCTCTGCAGCTAAAGCAACAACAGTCATAGCAGCAGCAGCGGCATCCGTCCTTGAGCCGCGCTGGGAGCGTTACTTCCTGGTTACTACTCCCACTACACCACATTGTTTCCCCTGGAGCGGAAGGTGGACGTGCCTGGAGTTCTCCTGACGTGGCTAGTAGCTGTCCGCACCCAGCGCGCCCAGCTAGTGCTTTGTCTGCACTCCAATTGTGGTGGCGAGTTCACCTCTGGTTTCCTTGATCAGTTTTGTTGTGCGGAGGGAATTACCTAGGCGTACTCGCTCCCAAACTCGCCGCAGCAGAATGGGATGGCTGAGCATCGCATTGGCTTGGTCATGGAGACCACTCGTACCATTATGGTCCATGCCAGTGTCCCCCATTCTATGTGGCCTTTTGTAGTGCGCTATGCCGTGCACCCTCCCCTGGACTGGGTCCCCTGGTGCTACGCCTTTGTTTCATGCCTAGGGCTGCCTTGCTCACTTCAGTAACCCTCGCGCGTACAAGCTCTCAGCCTGCACTCTCATGTGTGTCTTCCTTGGCTTCCCGCTTGACGCCCCTGGTTGGCTGTTCTACCACCTCTCTTCTCACCGTTTCTTCCATTCTTGTAACATCACCCTTGACGAGTCAGTCCTCCTCTACACTCACTTCCCTCACCGAGGTACCTCGGCTCCTCCCCCTCCCTTATTTCTCAATCCCACTCTCTCCCCCCCCTCCTCCTCCCCGCCCCCTTGGTCCCACTCCCCTGCTAGCTTCCCCCCCTCCCCCATGTCCTGCCCCGTCTGGTGTGTCGTAAGTCACCCCCCTTCCTTCGGTTGGGCCTATGGGAAAGTCTGTTGAATCTTGAAGCCGGGTGCATATGGGTGCGCCTCCTATGTTGGCCCCTTCGCCACCTTCCCCACATCCCCCACCTACGTCGCTGCTGTTGCCACAGTCTCTGCCGTCATCGGCGTCATCTTCGCACCCGCCGCAGCAGCCTTCGTCACCGGAACAACTACCATCGTTGCCGCAACCGGTTGATGTGGAATCTTGGGCGTGCTGGTTCTGGGGATGCTAGCTCTGGGGGTGCTGGTGCTCGAAGTCCTAGTTTTGGGGATGCTGCCGCATGAGGTAGTAGGTGCCATAGTCACCACAACAGTCACATTCGTTGCCGCAGCAGCCGCAGCCGTTGTCGTCGCCGCCTGTGTCTCCACTTCACCTTCTAGGGCTTTCTACCCCTCGCTTGACCGACCACCTGTTCCCCCCTCAACGCCTCTCCCAGTCTATGGTCCCATGTTTCCTCCCCTCTAGCCCGTCTTCCTCCATGTTCACAGTTGTTTCCTCCTCTGTATCCTGACCCAACTCCTCCCTCTCACCACTGGGTCCGTTGTCCCTCTCGTGCTTGCCACTGTGTTTCCCCTACCCTATATCAGTTCTACGCTCCTCTGTTCTCGTCCCTCTCGTGTTCCACCAACCTCTATTCTCCCGTTGCCTCCTTCGTTGTCCCTTACTATCTCCTCTCTTCTGTCCTCTGATTTTCTCCATATCGCTCGCCCTATAATCAATCGTGACCTTTCCTCCCTCGTTACCGGCCCCACTACTCCTCCTCCGTCCGTCTCTACTCTTGTCTTTGCTGTTGCTGACTTTGCCTCCATCCACTGCCTTGACTACGCCACTCAGTTGGTCTATGTTCCCGCCCGTCCTCTGTCTGTCAAGGGTGCTCCTACCCTTGGCACAGAAGTTCAAGAGGACAGGCAGTACGAGATGGCTTTCCTTGCGGCCGCTGCTCCTCATCTCTGTGCCATGCTGCTAGCCCCTGAGGGTGACCTAGACGCTCTAGATATCCCGACCCCTCGCACCTATGCTGGGGAAGTCTGGGAACCCTGGGCCTCTCTGTGGACAGCAGCCATGGAAGAAAAGATGGCATATTGGAGGTCATCATGCACTTACGTCGACGCAGTTTCCCCTCCAGGGCCGAATGTAGTCGATGGCATGTGGATCTTCAAGGTGAAGCTTCCACCTGGAGAGCCGCCTGACTTCAAGGCGCGCTACACAGCTAGAGGCTTTAGTCAGCGAGAGAAGGTAGACTTTTTTATTCTTGCCCGCCCCGAAGATGTCTACTCTTTGGATATTGGTGCACATCGCAACGTAGCACGACTAGAAGTTTCACTCTCTTATCTTCTCCATAGCCTTTCTACACGGCAGTTTGCACGAGCAGATCTTCCTCCATCACCCGCTTAGCGTTATTGGGTCCTTTCTACCCGAGACCCAAAGAAGCCTTCGACTGTCCATCTACTTCCTACACCAGGCTCCTTGTTAGTGGCACGACACACTTCGCACTACTGTGGCTCACTTCCCGTCCTCAGCTGACTTGTCTCTCTTCGTTCACACTGGCTCTACGCCGTTCTACATTCTGGTCTACGTTGACCTTGTCTTTGCTACTCTAGGCAAAGTCACACTGGCCTCGGTAAAGGCCGAGCTGCTAAGAAGACACGCTTGCACTGACCTAGGTGAGCTGCATCGCTATCTTGGCCTGCAGATTATTAGGAACTGTACGAAGAGCTATAGGGGTTCCTCATGTACCCTATGATCTGCATTCGCCTCAATGTGGCGCATCTTCTCAGCATCCTTGCTCGTTTTGTTGCGACTAGGTGACAAGGACGTGAGCATTTGTCAAATGCCAAGAGGGTATTGCATTGTCTGGCTAGTACATCAAGCATGGGGCTTGTGGTTGGAGGGCGACAGCCAGTTGCACTTACGGGACACATTGATGCGTCGTCTGCAGACGACATCGAGACGGTCATGTCTTCTCAAAGCTACTGCTTCAGCCTTGGCGCATGAGCAGTCTCGTGGTAATTGTCAATGGCACAATCCAGCTGTGAGGCAGAGATCTACACTGCGCTATGGCTGCTCAACAACTTGCTCGCGTTCTTGCTGACATACTTATATGAGCTGCCTAGATCTTCCCTAGTTCTTCGCTGATAACACGACCATGATCTTCCTGTGTCTGGAGCCTCGAATAGAGGGCAGAGCAAAGCTTTCCGGTTGTGGTATTTTCCTGATGCGTGAGCTGTAGCAGCATAGCCAGTAGTAGACCTGGCCTCAAGTGCCAACACTGCGAGGGCCTATTGATGACGCCCCCGTTTACACATGCATCAAGAAAGCACCATCTTTGAGCTAGCATAATAGGTTATCATATTTTGTATACACATTTGCCTGATTGGTAGTATCATTTGGATGTAGTATGATAGAAAGAGTCTCAACCTGACCATTTGAGTAACATTAAAGGGGGCCTTATTGAGAATTTTGTAAACAAGTGCGAAAGAACGTTATT